TATATATATATATATATATATATATATATATATATATATATATATATATATATATATATATATATATATATATATATATATATTATATATATTATGAAATGTATACTGAATGTCATAAACATACTCGTTTATATTACTTCAGCATCGAACAATACTAGTTCTGCAAGTGTTATGTTGAGTTGTGTAATTGTACACTCCGTAATATGTTAAGATGAAAGTTCTCGAGTGTGTATTATATAATTTCCATACCCAGCGTAAGCAGAAAGATAAAGTCTGCCGCGGCTGGGTCTTGAACCCGCGACCTACGAATTACTAGATCGACGCTCTACCAACTGAGCTACACGGTCAGACGGATTTAAGACTGGAAATTATGAAATATATACTGAATGTCATAAACATACTCGTTTATATTAATTCAGCGTCGAACAATACTAGTTCTGCAAGTGTTATGTTGAGTTGTGTAATTGTACACTCCGTAATATGTTAAGATTAAAATGTTCTCGAGTGTGTATTATATAATTTCCATACCCAGCGTAAGCAGAAAGATCATAAAGTCTGCCGCGGCTGGGTCTTGAACCCGCGACCTACGAATTACTAGATCGACGCTCTACCAACTGAGCTACATGGTCAGACGGATTTAAGACTGGAAATTATGAAATATATACTGAATGTCATAAACATATACTCGTTTATATTAATTCAGCATCGAACAATACTAGTTCTGCAAGTGTTATGTTGAGTTGTGTAATTGTACACTCCGTAATATGTTAAGATATAGTATAGATAGTATATAATAATAGACGGTATATTTAAAATACAATCGCACTAATACAAGTAATAGTGAATTATAGTATTTTTACAAGCATAAAATTATGAAGACTACTGTTACTTTTTAAAACTAGGAATTGGAGTTATATAAAAATGGAAATTTAGATTGTAAACCTAATTGACAACGGTCATGACTTGTTCATAGTACGTGAGCACATAGCTGGGAAGAAACTGTTCTTAAATCTGTCCGTCCTACACTTAAATAGGCTAAGATTACTAGAGTGGCGCAGTTCTCTGCCATGCGACTCAATCCGGGTCGGAGGTAAAATGCGGTTAAGGCGTGATGATGGTATTGTTATTTTATCCAAAACCTTCTTACAAAGAGTATCACGACGATCGGATAGACGGGGAAGAGAGGCGGTAGCAAGCGCGGTTGAATAGGACATGTTTGGATATAAAATCCGTAGAGCACGACGTTGAACCCTCTCGATTTTGTCGGAAAGGTAGGAGGGGATAGATGTATTCCAGGCTGCACAGCAGTATTCTAGCACAGATCTGATAATCGAAATGTAGATAGTCAGGAGGTCGTTGGCAGACACACCGGAGTTACGCAAAACTCGCAAAATATGAAGTCTCTTTGAAGCTTTGGACGTGATAGAGTCAACATGGGCGTTCCATTTTAGATCGTTTTGTAAGGTGACTCCTAGCAGTTTAAAACAGGTGACCTTCTCTAAAGGTTGGGAGTTGATCGACAATGTAGAAGACAGTTCTTGCGGGGGGTTGCGAAGAAAAGAGATGGTAAAGTCCTTGCACTTTTTAGGGTGTAATTTCATGTTATTACTCATCGACCAGGCATTAATAGAGTGGAGATCTTGTTGTATTCCAGGGGGGGAGTTACGATGGATGGCTTGGGAGATGGTAACGTCATCAACAAACATCCAATTACTAGACCTCAACGGAGAATGGCTGGCAAGGTCGTTGATCATTACGAGGAATAGGATAGGGCCAAGCTTGGTACCCTGCGGGACACCGGCAGTAACAGGAGCCCAGTTAGAGGTAAATTGATTAACTTTTACAGACTGCATCCGACCAGACAAAAAGCTACAGATCCACGGGATCAAGGCTCTTCGTACGCCGAGGTTGATAAGTTTCGAAATGACGATGTTGTGGTCGATCCGATCGAATGCTTTACAAAAGTCAAGGAAGCAAACGCGGATGTATTTTCCAGGGTTATCGAGGTGATTTAGCCAGTTATGAAGGATATCGAGAAGGCAATAAGTAGTGGAAGTGCCTTTTAAACAGCCAAATTGCTGGGGGTCGATTTTATGACCTAAGTCCGAAATGATCCAATTTACCACAAAGTCCTCCAATACTTTGGAGAGACAGGGAGGCAAGGATATAGGTCTAAGGTCACCTTCATCAGAAACAGGCTGAACTTTTGTTATAGGTATTATCTCAGACTTTTTCCAAGCAGTTGGGGTGACTCCTTCGGAAAGAGAAACGTTAAAAACCCGTGCAACTGGTTTCGAGAGCTCGAAAGAAAATTCCTTTAGAATACGTGCGGGGATGTGATCAGGGCCACTTGCTTTGTAGGGGTTAATCTTGGCCAATTTGCTGTAGACTTCAATCTCAGAAATCTTTGGAAGGGGTTCTTCCGCTGGGAGGAAAGCAGGTATACTGTTTATGTCCAAAGGGTAGATGTCTTCGTTAACAGATAGAAAAAACGTGTTTAAATGTTCAGCAAGCTCGAAGTCGGTTAAAGCTAACCCGTCCTTCTCGATTGTGAAAGGTTGCGACTTATTTCGTCTTCCTGATAAGCTATTCACAAATCTCCACCATTTCCTACAATCTTCATTCTTAAGGTGCTTAACCTTATCTTCGTAAATGCTTTCTTGCGTTTGGAAATTTCTTTCTTAACTTTATTTTTATAGTGCCTCCATAGGACTGGGTCATTATTATTGAATGCGTTCTGTCGTTTCTGGATTAAAGACTTGATGGCGTGTGAGATCCATGGTTTATCGGTTGTGTGTAACTTGGTGGACTTTAGGGGAAAGAAAATGTCAATAGCGGTAGTAAGGGTAGATGTCAGAGAATCGGTTAGATTATCGGCTGAAAGCTGGACAACATCAGCAAACCAATTAACGCCACAGATCCACCGTCCAAAAGCGTCAAGCCTTGACCGTAGAAAACGACGGGAATAGCGTTTGGGTAAAGACCCAGTGTCGTTATTCAGATATCTAGCTTTAGGGGTCCAATGTACGATGTTGTGATCCGATGTGCCTAGGGGGGCAAGTATGGCAGGATTCTCGTAGAAATTGCAGGTGTTACAAATGATTAGATCTAAGGTATTAACTCCCCGGGTTGGGTTATCTACAACCTGAATTAAGTCGAGGTCCGAGGTGATATCTGAGACATCTAATTGGTTAAAGTCACCGAGAATAATAAGCGCGCAGTCAGGATATTGGTTACGTACAAAGACTGATGTCTTGACTATGTGATCACACAAGTTATTTTGCTCTTCGATAGGTTTGCCAGGAGCGTTGTAGACGGCACAAAGAGCAATGCCAGAAAGTGGTCTAGGCAATCGATAGGGGCGAAGCCATAGCCATAGACATTCGAAATCAGGACTTTCTAAATCAACACGACGTTTACACGGGATATCAATAGAAGTGAAAACACATACCCCGCCACCACGACCCACACGTCTGTCCGCTCGATGCAAATTATATCCATCGATAGACAAAAGCTCGCTGCTTATGTCGGGTCTTAGCCATGTCTCGGTGATAACGGCTATGTCCGATCGTTTCTGCGGCAGTAGAATAGAAAGCTCGTCGATCTTTGGCAAAAGCGATCGAGAATTTAACAAAGTAATCGTGGGAAGTAGGGGAATAGGAGGTAGTTTAATTCTGTTAAGAGGCACCAGAGAACGTCTTTGTAATGCATAATTATATGGGTTATCGAAATAAGGCTTTGAAATCGATATGCAAATTCTTCTTGTTTGTGTAATGGCTTGAATATTTGATGTTCTTGTTTGTTGAGATGATTTAACTTTTTTCCCACTTCTGCATCCTCGAAAAGGTTTCAGAATACCATAACTTTTAAGTCTTTCGTGAATAGACTGATTCAATGAAAGATTCGTGGAGCAATTTCGAAGAATACGTAGTGATATGGTCGAGTATTTAAGTCTGAAATCCGTTCGTTCTACGCCATTACCCCCGCCGTGTCGAAACCGTAGAGGACAAATAATCGAATTTTGTTGGTAAATTGAACGGCAACCATGTCGAAAAAACCCAAACATGTTACTCGATAAGTTTAGTAATGTCTTTGTACCATTAGGAGATGCTAAGACCCCAAATTTTCCTATTTTATTTCACACATTGAGCTAACTAAATTTAAGTGCAGCCATACGGCGCATTACATTGCGCATTATGAATGAAATCTTTTTGATAGAAACATAAATGGTCTTATTTAAATATATTATCACTGGTTTGGTGTAAAATAGTTAATATTTTCTGACCGAAATAATAATTTGAAATGTGCCTACCTCCTGCAAATGGACGTATTTGGCCAAGTTCTCCACTTTACTCCGCTGTTTATCGGCGATCTCGTCGATATCCTACAAAAAATGTAAATCATCTCAGACATAATGGTATCAAGAACATTTTAAACAAGTTTCAACTTGGTTTCAAGTAGATCATACCTGTTTAACCATCGACAAGGTAAATCCACAACTTTAATCTTTAATCTTTAATCTTTAATAAAATTATTTAAACACGGTAGCCTGTTCAGCAGATAATATTTACAGCGCTGGTTTTCAAAGGGCCGGGTGTTTACAACAATAATATAAAAAGGACAAAAAGAATATAACTATTTACAATGAATTGATACGGATGAATTATGTAATTGCCGTTTAAACGACAAAATTGAAAGATTGTTATAATTTTCAATAGTTTCACTTGGAAGTTCGTTCCAGGACTTAGCAGCTCTATACGAGAAACTTCGTTTGAGAAAATTTGTCTTAGGTTTGGGTAGGTTCAATTTAATTCGATTGCTTCTTAGATTGTAATTGTCATTTTGACTTACTGAAAACAATTTTTCAAGGTATCGAGGTAATCGACCAGTTAGTGCTTTAAATGTCATTATTAACTGTCGTTGTTTTAGAAGTTCTTCTATTGGAAGCCAATTAAGGTGGCTCCCTACAGTTAGTACAGTTTAAATACGATTTATAAACACCGCGGAAAAACGTCTGCGCATGCGTCAACCTTACCTGTAATAGTATTGCGAACTTGATGAGAAGCTGTTCAGAACGTTTCCGAAGGCTCAAAATGGCGGGAAAAAGGAGTGACTTCATTGTGCGTCTTTACAGCCAGATTTCGAGCGCAAAAATAAACATGTCATTCTAAAAACTAGGAATAAATACAGCCAGAAGGTTCAAGAAATTGTATTGTACAAGAACATGAACTAAAGGTGATTGTTGACAAATTTATCGTCTGAAACATTTTGTTTATCAACTAAGCAACGACAATTTCCGAATTTTCGTTTGAGATACATTTCTTTAAAAAAAACTGTGTCGCCAAATATAAAAAATTTTCGTGTTCACAATAATTAAACTTTAGGATTTATTCTACAATTTGAGTGGGTTAAGAAGCTTAACTTTTCGAGAGTTTTCTTAACTTTTTAGTTTGAATTTTTGTTTTGAATAATTTTGCAAAAATTTTCGAAGTCGTGTCCGTTAAAATCAACAATTTTTTACATGAATTATATTTCATTCCATACTTTAAATGCCAGGACGCTTTCAATTAATGTATAGTCTACCCATTTGCTATATTTTCTCGTTTGTTTTACTAATTTTTGACCAATTAATAAGCATGTTTTTGTTTTAGAAATTGATATTCAAATTCCCCGCCATATTTTCATAATTTGGTGCATGCGCAGACGTTTTTCCGCGGTGTTCGATTTATATAGATCAGACTTCATCCTCGCGACCTGCGCGTGGAATCGTGTTTACTGTTCGGCAAAAATATTGAAACAAGCCGTGGGAAGTTTTTTGGCGTTTTTTATCTACAAAGAAAGCCCCAGTTTTTCATTATAATCCTATTTTTTTCTGAATTCGAACAGTACGTATGTTATTAACTAGTTTAACCTATCTTTTAGTGTGTTTTTACGTATTTACGTTCAGTATTGTCTTTCATATTGCTCAAAATTTTCAGCTTGTTGTTTTGCGAGCTGTCAAACTGAAATGACACTGTCTTCTATTAACTCTTGAACAGTAGTGAACTGTTCCCGAAACTTATAGAAGTTCTGTCAATCAATTCAATTTACAGGTATCGTTTTATCTGCTAAATCAAATAAAACAGTTATGAGTTGTTTTATATGAAAAGTTAAACTTGTAGTTCGATGTTTTGAAAAGTTTTCACAACGATTTTAACAACAAAAACAAATGTAAACTAACACTGGATTTAATACAATGCCTATAATAGTGTTTTTATTAGTATTTTCAAGATTAATATTTTATTTTCATGTCAAACAAGTCAGAAATATCTGTTTTCTTATGTATTGTAAGCCAAAAAGTTGAAATCACTATAAATCACACGCTACAATTTACACACATGCGCAGATCGTGCTCATGTCGAGTCGATTTTTTTTCATGGTGGCCACGCCGATTTTAGCGATGATTTTCTCGTGTTTTCTTCGGTGAAATTTTTTTAAACTTTGTATTTTTGTTATAAAAGACAAATGGTACAACATATCCAAATTTTAAGAAATTCTACAAATAACTTTTTCTGTAACCGTCATTCACGAATATCTCGAAAACTTATTTATAAATTCCCTTCAAATTTTGATGTTTTTCCTTTATGGACCATAAATCTTCAAAAAAAAATTCAGAAAAATTCACCGAAGGAAAATATAGATATTGTCAATTTATTGTGAAATTAGACAATAAAAGTGCAAAAGATTACACGTCATGGTTGCCATGGCAACACAAACACTGTTTTAATTTGTTCATAAATGGACAGCACACAGCTTCTGAACTTTCCTGGAAATGATCATATTGCCTTGTCTTAAGTGTATCTAATATAAATTCGGTTCAAAGCGAACGATACTCAAAATACCTAGAATTTTAGAGAACTGTAGGGAGCCACCTTAAGACTATCTAGCGTTTGCATGGAACGATCCTCGTATGTGTCCCTTGTAATCACACGCGCTGCTCTCTTCTGCAGTATAAACAATTTATCAATTATCGAACAACATCCATCATTCCAGATTGTTGAACAATAATTGAAATGAGGCCACACTAAGGCATTATAGATTTTTATCAGACTATCTCTATTGACAAACAATTTTGCTCTTTTCAGCAGGGCGATATTATTTGAAATTGTTTTACATTGCATTTCATTATGTTTATTCCATTTTAGCTGGTCGTCAAGGATCATGCCTAGTGACTTTTTTTGGTAAACTCGCTTAATGTTGTTTCCCCCTAATGTTAGTACTGGGCTATTTTCAATTGAAGCTAAGCGACGTCTTGATCCTATTATCATAAATTCACTCTTTTTCATATTTAATGAGAGCTTGTTAGCTGTCAACCACCTATGAACATTTTCAATGTCTTTATTAAGTTTGATCTCAATTTCATATGGACTAAACCCTTCACAAGAAAGGCTTGTGTCATCAGCAAAAAGATTTGCTTTGGTTGTCTCTAAACAGTTTGGAAGATCATTTATGTACAATAGGAATAAAATAGGCCCAAGGTTAGAGCCCTGAGGTATCCCGCATTTTATTTGTCTAACAGCTGACATCTTGCTATTCACAGAGCATATTTGGCTTCGACCAGAAACGTATGATTCGAACCATTTCAGGCTAGTTCCTTTAATACTATATAATTCAAGCTTTGATAAAAGAATATGATGGTCGACAGTATCAAAAGCTTTTTTAAGGTCTAGAAATAAAACTCCGCTAAGTAAACCTCTGTCCATATTGAACAACCATTCATTTGTAGAACTAAGCAGTGCAGTTTCAGTAGAATGTTGATGACGGAAGCCAGACTGCTGTTCCACAAGAATGCCATTCAACCTCAAGAATGAACTTAGCTGCAGGTATACCAGTTTATCGAAAAGTTTAGCTACAGCTGAAATAACAGATATTGGCCTATAATTTTCACAATCTGCCTTATTTCCTTCTTTAAATATGGGGGTCACCTTTGCTAATTTCCAATCATTAGGGAAAATTGCTCTTTGAAGGGATACATTGAAAATGTTCACTAGTGGTCCTGCCACAATGTTAGATGCATCTTTTAGTAACCTTATACTAATACCATCAAGCCCTGGAGATTTCTTAGTTTTAATTTCATTGAATGCATCTATTGTTTCTTGGAGTGTAACGCTTGTAAAGTTGAATATACTACCATCAAGAGGAGTCACAAAGTTCATTGGATCAGTGCAGTTACCTGTGATCTTGTCAGACAACGTACTGCCAATTGTGGAAAAATATTGATTGAAGGCATCTGCAATTTTATCATCGTCAGTAATAAGTTGGCCATTTATATCTAGTTCTTTAACCTCTGAAGTTTTAGGCTTTTTGTTTAATAATTCGTTAATAGTTCGCCAACTTTCTTTGCTATTTTTAGCATTGCTTAGTTTATCTCCAAAGTATTCTTGTTTAGTTTCTTTTATGAGATTATTTAACTTGTTTTTACATCTCTTGTAAGCCTTATCATAATACGCAGATCTTAATTTAATCGATTGCTTTTTAAGGTAATCCCTACGATAGCTCATTTGCTTAATTTCATTTGTCAGCCACGGTTTATATTCACTCTTGACACGACGTTGTCTGATTGGTGCATGTTTATCTGCGACGCTCAAAAACTTATTTTTAAAATCGTTCCATAAGGCATTTGGGTCAGTTAAAATAGCTGAATCCAAGGGCAAACTAAAAACCTCACTTAGATCGTTGTTAAACTGGTTAACATTATTTTTATAATGTCTAGTAAAGACAGTTTTTGGTGGCGCCTTAGGAATGCTGAGCTTTCGACACAGATAAACAAGACTATGATCACTGATACCAAGGTGTATTACTCCTGTATCTAATATTTTATCATCACCATAATAAGTGAGGATAACATCCAGTAGTGATGCTGTTGTACTAGTAATTCTCGTGGGACACTGTATGTGTTGCTGTAATTGATAAATGTCAATCAGGTCAACTAGTTTAGAAGTAGGCAAACTTTTGTTCTGCTCAAGAATGTTACAATTGAGATCTCCGGTATGATAATTTCTTTATTTTCGTCCTCAAGTAGTTTTAAAAAATTTTCAAATTCGCTAAACAGCTCAACGCTGGAATTTGGTGGTCTGTACCATGTTGTAATTAACTGAGGTTTACTTTTAAATTTTTTAATTTCTACGCAAATCAACTCTAAATTATCAGGGAAGAGGTCTTTGCGAATGGTGTATGGTATGTTGCTTCTAATATACATTGCAACACCTCCTCCGCTTCTGTTTCGATCACGCCTAACAATATCATAACCAGGAATTTCAATTTCACCGTTTAGTACGCTACTATCTAATCTAGTTTCGTTAAGCGTTATAATGTCAAAAAGTTTGTTTTGCATGTATAGCAAAAGCTCATCATAGTGTTTTATCAAACTTGCTATATTTGGATGACATACTTTAAAACCTTTAAGTTTAGGAAAAAGAGAGCCGCTAGCGTGTGATTGTTGTCTATATTTACATCATTACCCAGAGGGCTATTAGCATTATTGGCATTATCGTTTTCAATGGAATTAAACCTCTGTATATTACTATCATCTGAGGGAGTAATATTATTTTGATTGTTCATTTGTCAATTTAAGTTTTTGAAATGATCTATAATATTCTTGGCCAACTTGGCTGTTTCTTGCTTATTTAAGTGGAGACCATAAGGATTCAAGTGATCTGCTGTAATATTGGTATGATTTAATACACCCCATTTATTATTATGGCATACCTGTGATAGTTTGCAATTTAGTTCTTTGATTTTGGAATCTAGGCTTGAGTCATCAGATCTGGTTATAACTTTCGATAATACAATCTTAGTATTTGGTGATTCCTTTACGATTTCCTGGCAAAGCGTAGAAATTGACCCAGCTATTTGTTGAGGGGTTTGTCGCTTTAAGTCATTAGTTCCAACATGTAGGAGCAGATAGTCAGGGGATCTTGATATTGCTGGTTTCACATAATAACGCATATCAGCAACATTGGCTCCACTGAAGGTTTGCACGTTGATATTATGCTTTGTGCCTTTACGCAACTTGGAGGGGTTTAGATGTTTCACCATGGAATCTCCAATAATGGCCACATTAAGACGATGGCCTGTCTCCGAGCCTGCTCTTTGCTCATATGCGGGCTTGTCTTTTGGCTTTTTGTGGCTGTTGTGATCTTTTTTCACCGTTTGGGTAGCAGAATCTCTCTGTTGTCGCTTGTTGTTTTCATTGTCTGCATCGGTTTCGTTGTCGTTGGTATTTGTTTCTTCAACAAGTAGGGGTGAAAAACTGTTTTTTGTTGGAATAGTGACCACATGTTCGCTGTTTGTGTCTTTCGTATCTGAAGAACATTCCAAAACAGATTGTTGTTGGTCATGAGGAGTTTCAAGGTGATTTACATTTATTGGTTGAGTGGATTCCAAATCCTTAAAAAATAGCCGGATACTTGTCATTAGACTGGCTTTCTCTTCATTAGCCCGTGCGGCTTTGTCTTGTAAATCAGCTAGCACAAAGCTTAAGTTGTTTACGCGTTCGGTTATCTTTTCGTTCTCGTCTTTTAGTCTGGCATTTTCCTTTCTCAGCCATGACAATTCAGTGTCAGAGTCGAGGTTTTTCAGTTCTCTCAATTCTTTGGAGTGAACTAGCAGTATGTCAGTGACGGAAGACATTTTAGAACTGATTCCCTCCTCCAAGGCCTAAAGCTTATTGTTAAGATTCTCCAATGTAGTTTCGAGCAAGCGGTCTTTCGTTTGTTCTTCGGAATTTTTTACATCGCATAAACTCTTCGCCATAGAAGCTACTGATTTTAATCTGTCTTCGACATTTTCTCGATCATCCCCGCTGACATAGACAGTTTGGGATTTCGCATACCATTTTATTGCAACGTCTTTTCCTTTGGCTACAAACAGCTTAGCATCGGCGCCAGGAGAAGTCCAATCTCCTTCGTTCAGGTCTAATACTTCTTGAACAAACTTCTGCAGTGCTTCAAAAGAGCCTGTCCAAATTAGTTTATTTCTATTGTTGAATAATAAGTCGTGGATAAGACTCTGCATCTTGCTTGATTATATAAGCTATTTCACTATGTTCACGATTCTATATACGAATTATATACACGAACTGCTGTACCGGGAGTTCAAAAATACACGTCTGCTGTGCTGAAACATTCCATCTATGATCCAAGGGTAGACCTCCTCACTGATCTAAAAAGTATGGCTGTTTGCCTGGAGTGGGATAAGCGCATAGACGGATATTAAAGCAAGATTTCAATTTTCAAAAGCATAAATTTGGAAAATCACGTTTCCCAAAATTATCTTATTGTGTTGCCATGGCAACGCTGACGTAAACGCGATCCTGCGCTCATCAGTGTTGATCAATTACTAATACTTCATATTAAATCAATGTTTGGAAAATCAGGGCGAGGGACTTGCTGCATGCATGTATTTCTAGTATATATTTGCACGGGAAGATTTCTGAAAGACGATGTACGTAAGACCCACTACACTAGGAAACATGAATCAGATATATAATTACCAAAAAGCTACACTTTTGCTTAAATTACCGTATAGACATCTCGCGGTAAGACTTCTTTGCTTTTGCCTTGTCTTCCTGTATATTTTTTCACTGTTATGCCAGTCAAATTGTTGTCAATATTTATGTTAAAATGCTTGTCAGCGGTTGTTAATCACACATTACTTTATTCACATTTCTACTTTATTGACTTTATTAAAAACGGCCAGTACTATTTCACAAGATTAATTATTTACAAACATATTAAAGGTGATGTAAATCGGTCGTGCGCATACGTTCTGCGCAGGCCTACAATGCAATGGTCGGGTCCCGACCACCAGAATGTTCTTAATATTTCGCACCTTCCGAACTTTCTTGAATTGAATCTTTAGTCTGTATTAATTCACAAGCATAGCGAAGCAGAAAATTGTTAAAAATTCAGTATAAAATATATCTAATCATTACAACTCTAGCACTTAGTCCAAAATGTAAACAAAGCGTTTGTTTACATTACGGATTTTACAGATAGATAGATAGCTAGATAGATATTTAATAAATTTCTCCCTAATAGGGTTTTTCAGAAATTATTTACAGTTACATGCATACAGTAATAATTAAGGTTACAAAATACAAATATAAGTTTAAACAATTATCAAAGACTATATACAAAGTATAGTTGGTTATACTAAATGTTATCTTCTTCACATCACCTTTAATGGGAAATAAAGAAGAAGGGAAAAAGATAATGTGATGTTCACTCAAATTATCAATGGTTTTAAAATTTGAATTCAAAAGCTGGAAATAAATTTCCAGTATTAGTATATTTTATTGCAGTGGAAAAGTTATTCCAAACCTCATCACCTCTGTATATAGACTTGGTTCAAGTCCATCTCTCAAGGGGTTGAAAATAGCGATGCACGCTAGCGGTCAAATAGGGCGCCAAAATACGAGTGAAAAGTAGGGAGAGACGAACTTGCATACCCTGCAAGCGCGCCAAATTTTACCGTCGCATTTTACCTACGCATTTTTCCTGCGATTTGAGAACAACAACAAATTTTCGCGCCAATTTTTGAAAGTAACATTCGAAATGCTGCAAATGTCCCAAGTCCTTCTCTCCCTATATTTTTTTCCTGAGACGGACTTGAGCCAAGTCCGCCAATAGACAAAAGCCTTTTTCATATTGTTCGTTTTTTGGCGTAAGTAATGCCAAATTGATTTCCCTATTTCTCGTATAATAATATACATAAAAATATTACTCGACTGTGATTGGTTCATGTTTTGGCAGTTAATCTCAAACTGCAGTGCATGTTGTTGTAATCACAGTTCAATTTGTTGTAATCACAGTGCAATTTTCAGTTATCACAGCGCACAAACCATTAACCAGTAACAAACTGTGGAAAAACAATATGATGATAAAATCAACTAATCATTTTCTGCGGTTTGGTGTTATGTACCCAGGTGTATATGATGTTGCGATGTTACTCTGAGCGTGCATCCACACCGGTACCAGAGGAGCCGGCCCATTCCGGGTCTTATCGAAGTTATGTATTAGAATTACGTATGAAATATATAGCTCAGTGTTGAAGCCTGCGACTTGCGGGCTGTGTGCGGGCTAACGCGCGTGTTGAATACACAATAAAGAAAATAATATTGCCTCGAAGCCCAAAATTCAAAGCACAATATCATTGTGGTTAAATAAAAAAGGTCAGAGTTTTATTATGTTGTAAGGTCCACTAGGGCCTGTTCTTTCATATCGTCTAGCCAAAACCTTACAAGTAGTTGCTAACGAGGAGAAATATTTCAATTGATCGCACAGCAGTGAACGTTTGGATGTGTCGGGATGTGTTCCACAGGTTGTTATGACATGCTGAAATGCTTAATTATTTCCTACTACACACTCCACAGATCTCTACAATCATTTGGAAAATATTAATATTAAACATTATTGTACTTGTTGGCATATTCGAATATAAAACACATATAAAATTTTAAAAACATATAAAACAAATTTCAAAATCAGTGATCGGCCCGTCGCTCGGTCGGACGTGAAAATTTCAAAAATATATGAATTAACTTACCAGTAAACCGCAAATTCTTTTGATTTTGCAAATTAGTTGCGGATGACATGTTTGTAATCAGAAAGGTAATTTCTGAAAGACGTTCTTTCACTGAAATTTATGGAAACTTAAGTCGATAATTTGTCAATGTCATAGCAACCTATGGAACACATGCTTCCAGGCACTCGTCGATGTTGCTATTTCCTTTATTGTGTATTCAAAGCGCGCGTTAGCCCGCACACAGCCCGCAAATCGCAGGATTCGACACTGAGCTATATATTTCATACATAATTCTAATACATAACTTCGATAAGATCCGGGATGGGCTCCATGTGTTCACACCGGGCAAGCTGAAAAGTTAACTTGGCCTTTTCAGCTTGCCCGGTGTGGACATCACAACATCAACCAATCAGTTTAGAGCATGCAGTTCTCAAGTAACAGTCACACTTTGCTTTAAAACAAAACAAAACAAACATGACGCCGCAATATATAAAGGTTGAATTCGGTTGGAAAGTATGGCTTTTATTTCTTTTTTTAATGGAAAAACCTTTACCCATGGCCAGAAATTGCGGACTTGGATTCTGAGCATGTGCGAACTTTGACAAACAAAATGGCGGATTTGTTATATATAAATCATTAGGAGCGGCGCGGTTTTTTTAAATTTAAACTTGTCTGATAATGGCTATGTCATTTGCAGACTTCGCAATAATAAAAATTATATCTGGGCCGTAAAACAGAAAAGTTTCGCATCGAAATCTTACTTATAATTTTTCCATTATTGAAGTTCACTTTATAGTACATCGGCGTATAATAAAGTATAGTAAAACTTGAGAAAATCGTTGGAAACGTACATTTGCTCGCGCCGCATTATCCCTCGATCCCTTCATGAAATTTGCATACATTGCGTCGTAAAATAAAGGTTGTCTCCTGCTTGTCTGCATAATTTTATAGTTATACGAATTTTTTAACTTGTTCCAATTTACGGGACAAAATGTTGATATTTTACCCAGAAATACCCTATCCGTAGGCCGTAAAACATTGCAAGAAGAACGACGTTTCATGAATTGTCGTCCATGTTTGATATCAACAAGAAGCTTAGGAACCTCGCTTTCTTCCAGTGTGGGCTACACGGAGGGATAGCGAAGTATACACAAAATATTTGAGTCGTTTACCATGCGCATCACTTTATATCCCATCATAATAAATGAAAGGTATGTAAAAGGCCGACAATACCTAATATATCTATTTTTCTGCTTTAGTTAAACAAAAAACTAAGCAAAATGTAGTTTTCTAGTTAAAACGTGCGTTTGTTAGGTATGAATAACTTTTCATAAGAAAAACCGCTGAGATATTTTGCGGGCGCAAGTCCTTAATTTCTGGCCATGTAGAACAAGACCAACAAAACATACATATAGTTGACTGGAATTTTCATGCTGTTAGCGTTGTATAATGTCATATAACAAAGCCCGGAAAATTTTGCCAGTGGACGGTTCACGATAAACTTACGTTAAAACAAACGTTTTTTTTTATGTATATTATTAAAATATAATAGGATAGTTTTCGTGGAATTTGGATGAACCAGGCACTGGTGAGTTTTTCAAAGACCTCAAAAACAACTTTCGTCCTTCGGACTCTCGCTGTTTTGATGCTCTTTGAAAAACTCAGTCTTGCATGTTTTTTTCCAAATTGCACAAACTAGAAACCATCCTATTACCTATGCTAAGAACGGTAGTTAACCCATTCAAATTGCAGATAACTTTAATAACGTTTTTACACAACCGGCCGCAGGCACTTTTTTCTACGTATTTACCTCAACATGTTTCTACATTATGTCAAACCGACTGTTCCTGCTGGACATTGGCATTGATACCCTCTCTACTGCCTCCAAAATCCATGCAATTTGACACTTTGTTGGTTGTGATGCCATTCCAGAATAACTGTTCATCGCAGCCATCACCAAAGTCGTTATTTTCCTCAAACGAAAGTTGGAAATGTATTAGTTTAGCAACTAAGGTTGAGAAATATGAGATTATAGAGTTAGGTGTTAATTTTGTTGCATGTCTCATGACGACCAATGTCATTCATTCATTCATTCATTCATTCATTCATTCATTCATTCGTTCATTAACCCATCACAGTAAAAGGGAGGTAGAGGTCCAACTAAAATCTGAGGAAGTAGAAACTTTCTGAACGTTTTTAGTTGTGGATGGATTGTCAGAATCAGTACTATAGGTGCACATTTTATTGACAATCACCACCTGGACTCATGAAAATTAAACTGGACGGGTTATTGTTATGTCTACATGTCATGAGTGTTCCTCTGATTACTCAAAATAAATGTGAAACAGCTTGATTGGAAATTTCGTTACTGTTTTTGCACGTTCCACTGTTGAATTATCCGCAAGGAGTGAATCTATTCACTCATATTGGTCTCGCGTGAATCCATACACTCATTTTGAATACAGGAATTATGGGTTATGGATCGACCAATCAAGCTCATATCCAAACCCGTGTGGCGAAAGCCACTCAACGTTCGCTGTGGGTACGAGATCAATTGAAATATAAGTATATTTAACGTTGTTATATATTTGTGGCGTTTGAATTCGTAATATCCGGTCGTGCAGGTTGCTTTGATATAGCTTTAATTTACCTGGTTTAATTGTTCATGATCTTCTTCATAATCTAAAGTAAACAAAATGATTATTGCAGTAAATGTACTTTTGGCCAGAAAAAATCGTTTGAATTTACAGCTCTATTGTACGTAATTCCAGAAACCTAATTTAAGCATGTGGACGATATCTGCATGGAGGACAACTTGCAACGAACCGCTGTACGCAGAATTTGAAATAATGACCAAGAATTTCTTTCAACTATACTTTTATTTCCTGGTGTTCATACCAAGCCCGACTGTGTTCTGTGTAAAATATCAATTAATATCAGAACAAACATAATGAAACCCTAACCCATACATAAACTTCATACAGATATCTCAAAGCAGTCTGTGTAGAAAACACGCGATGCGAGAAGGACACGCAAGAGGAAACTTAGGGGAGAGGGAAGTGTCGAAACTCCGAACTTTTGCCGCTCTATTTCCAAAAAATATATGCGATTCCGAAATTGCATGTTTTGGTATAAGTCCTGATAAAACTGCATGAGATATAGGTGAATATTTAACAGTTATTCTACGAACTCGAGTCGAATATGAATCCCGAGACCCCCCCCCCCGACAGTAATTTTGAAAAACTGTAAAAATCTTTCACCAAATCACACTCAAATAATGTAGTAGTCGTCATAATATAATGATATGTTTCTGTACTGTACATGTCACAACATATGTATTTTGTACACTCTTTTTGACGGATACTAGCGGATCAACTTCTTGCAACAGGCACTTCTTTAAGTGTGATTGTCCATTTTTTGTCGTTTCGGAAGCTTATACAATTGTTTAGCAGCGAAACTTCCTGCTGCACAATAATATTTGAGTGCGTATTAAACTATTAAGCCCAAAAACAATAGATAATCCAATTGACAAACTTAGCAAATAAATTTTTACATTGTCATTGGCGCCATGTCAATTAAACTAAAGCAGCTTCCAATTCCATTCACAAATGTAAATAATCATGTAAATATTTTCGCTGAAATTTTGGTGTTCAATACTTGGCATGTGATTTATAATAACGTTCACCATTAAATCAGTGTTTTGAAAACCTAGTTTTTAACAAAATCTGTTCTCAGAATGCTGCAAATGCCATTTCCACCACCATGGCTAATACGTTAGTGGTTGCTAACTGATTTTCTGATTGTTAAATGTCACGAGCTTTGTGCAGGATGTTTATTATGTAACAAAATTAGTGTAATTTCTACGGCATTAGCCGTAAATGTCAAACCAAATTAAAGTTTTCTAATTATGAGATGAAAGATACTGCAGCATGCATACGAAGTTCCATGCAAAGAAAGACCTTTCTGTAATTAATTGCACCACTTGAATAGCTATTGAGTATTGTAACACAGAATTATTTGGCAACAGAAAAATGGAACTCTGGTATCGTTCGCCTTTCCGAAAGGGTTGTTCATTTTGAGGGTGGGGTACACATTTTCGAGCAGCTATAAACGGGTGGGCTACCAAAATTACAGATACCAAATGTATGATTTGTCCAGCACCCCTCTCACTTTATGACCAGTCCCTTAATGCGCTCTTTCGGCCGATAATTTTTTCAAAAATATGTATTTTTAACCATTTTAAATTTAAAAAAATAATTTGCTTACCAGTAAACAATTTGTGGGAGTTTTCATTGTGTTTTTAATCCTGTAAAGGCTATAAAAAAACGAACATCTTGCCGTTTTCTCGTTTGCAAAACGTCGGAAATTCAGTTTGAGCCGCCATTTTGTTTTTCTCTACTAGCAGGATACGAGCTAATATCCTGCTAGTAGAGAATCAATCTGATTGCAGAATACCTCATATCCAGACCCAACTTCGTTCCCAGGGCTTCAGTGTGAGGACGAGGCGAGACACGAGGAAGCCCTGGTCTGGGCCGGTCAACGTGACGACAAAAAATTGCAGTATTTGACAGCTACTCGTCAAGAAGTGGCGAAACAAATCGAAGTCGAAGTCTTCGAAACAAATAAATAGGCAAAAGACTTCTCAATCGATATTATTTATGTGTAGAGCGAAGTTTGGCACGAATCAGTTAAAATCTATGAAGATCCCGTCTATGTTTTCTAAGATATACCGATATTTCTGGAGATTTTCAACTACAGGCAAAGCTGCATCGAAGCTGCATCTAGGCGTCTCCATGCAAGTGGTGATTCACACGAAATTTCCTATCTCTCGTCTTGAATAGTTTAAATATGTTCTTATAGATCTGATTTAGTTTAATATAAATGAACACAAATATAAACCTCGCATAACCTGTTTACGCTGTGCAGGAGTATACGAATTCACTTGTTTCGTCGGACACCAACACTTGCCGTTCCGAAGCAATGCTTGCCTACAAATTTTATTTTATCGTATAGTCGCAATTTTCAAGTATTCGGGGTATTCTGAAACTGAAAATCTGGGTGGCGTGCGAATCTTGTAGAGCCGACTACATCGGCCTAGGCGTAGAGCTATTAAGTAAACAGGGCCTAAATTAATTTAGTAGTTTCGTTTAATTGTATGTCTTGCTTTTATTTGTCAGTCACAGAATATTGAAAATAATAATATTACTACAGTGCAATACGCGTAGTATTTCTTCAGACATCTGCACTAATAAATACTGTACAAGGACAACTAAAGCTTAAATAATAGTAGACGTTTCTTGTTTTGTCAGGAAACATCACAGCTCACTTCGACACGGCTTTTGAGTTTTGTAACCGGCCGAGGCGAAAGTAAATCATGCAGCCGGGAAGACGCCTTACTTTGAAAGATTATTTTGCAAAACATACTCGTATACACACAAGAATCATAAAAATACAAATGTTGAATTGTTATTGTCAACTATCTAGTTCAGTTATTTTTAGACGATATGGTGTTAGCCAACCAGAATGCAAAATTGACCGGCGCAGACCAGGGCTTCCTCGCGTCTCGCCTCGTCCTCGCACTGAAGCCCTGGGAACGAGGTTGATCCAGACCTTGTGTATATAATAATTAGAGATATTCCAGCTCACATATTACAATCCATTTATTCCATAACTTGCATGGACATGTCTTCCAACCAAAATATTAATGCGGTTGGAAGTTTAAGGGATGTAAGTGTACATACTTAAATGACTTATTTTAAAACGTAAAACACTGTTGTCAAACAGTTATGAATAAAAGGGTGGTTGATCGGCTTGCCATCCGATGGCTTCTGTTAACAAACAGCTGGGGAAGAAACTTGTCGAATTTATACCGTATGGCAAATGAGAAAAGCAGCGCAGTTTCAACCCTTTCCTCTCTACTAGCATTTTCCCTCGCAAATCGAGTGATATTTCGCATTTATACACTGACCGCTTTCATAGGCTATAACTATATGCATAATACTCTCCTCCCGCGTTTCTACACTGACTGCTTTGGTACAACTGCATGATGTATAGATATATTTGTAGCAATTTTGTATTCATATTTATTGATATTTTATTGATAGGAAATATACGGGCTCCCAGTCCTCATAATATATGCAGCGCGTGGAAAGCGTTTGTATTGAAAAATAATCGCATCGTTTGTTGATCATGATGAAGCGATCTACTCAAGCTCTACATACCTTCGCATTCGATAGACTGGCGCATTAAACTGTCTACATTGACATAGGTATTTTCATTATGCTCAAGATCCCATAATTTATCTGATAGAGCAGAAAATGTAGGTCTGTCTTTTGGAAGATGACTCCAACACCTTACCATTATCTCATATCTAAAGCAATGAAGTAAGTCTAATTATTACTTTGAAGGTTACATTTGAAAGTCTCACATTAAAAAAAGTGAATAAATTGATAATATTACTGAATTTAACTAGGGATTACTACATTGTAATTAGCGAAGAGTAAACCTAAAATTCTGAAATAAAAGTAGATTTCCGCTCAAATGAAAAATATTAAATTTAATCATGCTTTCGTTCGCTACTCTCGTTTAAATAAATTATTACATCGAATTGAAATCAAGACCCAATGTTTTGACACTCCAGCCTATATATATATATATATATATATATATATATATATATATATATATATATATATATATATATATATATATATATATATATATATATATATATTATAGTTATTTTGAAAATTAAGATTGATGAACAACATTGTGTGTCATTTATTATTTCATCTAGATTCTAGAATTTCTAGAGGAATACCCAAAATTCTTATAGGAAATTAGGATAAATTATTTTCCTATAATAATTTGGGACTAGACATGAAAATTCTTATCCCAAGATGCTTTTCGTAATTTTGAAACATGAAAATTAGCTGTCAAACAAAGGTCTTTTGCAAAAGTTTTTAGTTATTACTTTCATGCATGTCAGCCATGCATATTCCTGGCCTGATAGTCATTAGCAAGTTGCTGCTCCGAAAAGTGATCAAAGCTTACACATTGTCCGTACAGCTGTCCACTTTCTCCAATCTCTTTCCGGAAAGTAAGAAATCTTTGAGATCTCTGTCCGAGACTGAAGGATAAGGAGTGTCGCCTAAAATATATAAATCTGGGTAGCCACGTGCAACAAAAGAAGTTCCAAAATTTAAACAAATGGAAGTACGGGACAAAAAAAAGGCAATTATGTATAAATTTTTACGGCAAAACGTTTTTGTTTTTTGTTCTGCATGAACGGTTGTGAAATTTGTTCGAACAAAAAAATTATTTATCTAGCTGTCGCCTTTTATTTCGTTGACGCAGTATGGTCGTTGAGAAGTCGATAGGAAATGCTCTTACCTAACGTGCATATTTCCCACAATACAACTCCAAATGCCCATCTACAAATGAGAAATGACGCATATGTGAATATAAAAACTATGTAAGTTTGGAAAAACGAAATGATGTTAAACAAATTGGTAACGGCTGTTACGTATTATGATTCTATTTTTAAATGATGACGTCACATTTTTATATTAATTAAGGAACTTTGTTTTGCAAAATTTTGTTGGAATTAGTCAAAAATCAAAACGCGGTTTGAAAACGTTTATTGTAGGGAGCAAATCTAAATCGTACGACAAAACGTGACATGAAGACAATCAGAATTGAAGTGCACATCTTTAATTTATGCATATTAGAACCAGAACGTTGGAATTTCAGCTGCTTATAATTAATTTTTCTCTTTGTTCCCATGTCTACACAATGCATGTGATTTTATGTTTATCGCACCAACTTTTTTTAAAAGGCTAATTCGACGTTAACTTTCCCGCCTAATAAAATTTAAACAACAAAAGTCATATTCTGCCTATATGTAGTTTAGATGACAGTATCGTTCACAGCTACTTTGTCATGTATTTCATTTGTTTAATTCACTAGACAAGGATTACTTTAATTGTGTGCATTTCATGCGAACGTTTATAAACTATTGCAACATTTCGGGAAATCATACATTTTACAGATTGAAAATGTCTTAATTAAATTGTCTACTTTTAAGTCGTCTTTCATCCTCTTATAATTGTCAAAACGTCGCGTCTTTTTTCCCTTGGGCATGTTTCAAAATATTTTCGTAGCTCACAAGCTCTGAATATAAAAACAAGTTTCGCAGGATGTTTGCCATAGTAATAAAAAAGCAAGCGAGTTGGGCGAAGGTAGAAAGAAATCATCACGAGGCTGGTTTGCCAGATTTTAAATTTGATTTATTTGGAGTTTGTATTTTAGTATAAAAGTGTATAGTAAGATAATTAGACAACTCGGTATCGAGTTTATATAGACAATCGGTTTGCAAATAATTAACACAGGCAACGCCTTCCTTAATTGAATATTCGTTCGAATACCCGATTTTCATTGAAAATTTTAAATAGATATTTTTATTTCGAGTATGCCAACGAAATTTTCCAGATAAAAGCGCTTAATCAAAGCTGAAATACACGAGCAAGATTCTATCCATATAAATAACTTAACAGAATGTTTAATCGCTTTAAGCGATACAGCTCACAAGTCACTGTAGATGACAGCGGGATATCATGCCTTTACTATATTGTGATAAATACAAAGTATTTTGTGAAAACTTTACTCACTTTTCTATCAGCAGTCTGGAAGTAGCAGTAGCTAGATACTTCAAGTTAAAACAACATAAAATAACACAATGTCCGAAACTGCATGGATGTTGAAGAATGATATTTGTGTTTTGTTTTTCTCAATTTTCTCCCAGGATGCATTGTGTTGATGATATGTATGGGAATTGAACTTACATTCGCTTTATTTAAAATGCGAGGTGTTCCAATACGCAGTTATTTCTAATTAATTGCTGTACTCACACATCACTGGCAGTGGAATAAGCTCGTTCTTCTATCGCTTCAATCGATAGCCATCGGAAAGGAATTTTTCCGTTAGATTTTTTTATATACGTTCCCTCGCGTGATAAGCCAAAATCTGATATTTTTAAAACTTTTTCTTCACCAAGTAGTATATTCCTTGCTGCCAAATCACGGTGAACAATACCAAGACCTGAAATATATTTCTAAAACAATAATATGAAATAACATATCATTACACGACTGTGATTGGTTGATTAAATAGCAGTTTGTTGAGTGACTTGAAGAAATTGGCCCAGGAACCAATACAGAAGTATTTAATATTAGTGTTAAAATGTCTCTCGCGTCAAAATTTTTATTTTCTCAAACGAAAGTTATCTTAGAACTGTATAGTAACTTGTTTTGAAGATTTTTGTTCCTATGCTTAGTTCTTGAAATATTTCATTTTGTTTGTAACTACGAGACGTTGTCTACTCAATTACATATGCAATGAGATATCAGTAATTGTTTTCTATCTTTGCTATTTTATCAAATTCTTTCCAAAGATACGGCGTGTTTGTTATTTTAACATACGTCATTAAGTGTATACCTTTTTTTAAACAAATCCACAAAAATAGAAAAAATGCACAACAATTACCGATATAACGTATATATGTAATTGAGTAAACGGCGCCACATGGTTACAAACAAAATGAAATATCTTGCAAAAACTAAACATGGGAACAAAAATCTTCAAAACAAGTTACTACACAGTTTGAAGAGGATTAATTTTGTTTAAGAGAATAAAAGTTTTGACGCGAGTACCATTTTAATTATTATAAGGGTTATTGACTTTTTGATTATATTCTTAAACCATTACGGACTACAAACATCTTGACATTGATTCAGGATTTTTTTTACAAATGCTGCATAGGTTTTAGACAGTTTACAAGTGGAAGCAATTTACCATTCCAGTAGCAATTTGACGAGCAAAGGATTCCAATTCTTTGGGGTCCAAAGCATATCGAATTTCCTCGTTTATTCTTGAGGCAATCTCGATGTTTAAATCTAAAGTGTAAGATAAATTGACATAAAATTTGACGTGAAGCACCATCTTGTAGAATAATATATGCATTGCATAGGACGTTCCTCGTAGGAACGTACCCTAGCCTATCCAAAAAAAAAGAAAAACAAATGTAAATAACTTCTAAATAGTTTCTGCCGGGCGAAATAAAAAAAATATTGATTAAATATTTTTTATATATGGTTAATTTACTTACAATGCAGACATACTGCTAGCTCATATATTTCTTCATCTTGTAAATATTTTTATTTCTTTGCATATTTTTGCGAGTATTTTTGCTTGAAACGTACTGTTTAATGAATAAAAGGTTTTCACATACTATTAATTAAACATACTTGGATGATATAATCTAGAATCGGCATGAAATCAGTGTACGAGATAATTTACGCTATTGATTTACGCTATTATTATTATTATTATTATTATTATTATTATTATTATTATTATTTTTTTTTTTTTGTCGAAACAAGGAATGGACGAATCCGGAACTGTTAAGTGTTTAAACGTTGTACTGTCATTTTGTTATCTTAATAGTATAATTTTTGTATATATAATCAGTGATTTAAGTAGCCAGTTGTAAATTACCTTAAATAAGTGAGATTTGCAATTGTATATATAAGATAAATATCCATTTAATAAAGTTTTCATTATTTTTTAAGGTATTATTATTATTATTATTATCATTATTATTATTATTATTATTATTATTATTATTATTATTATTATTATTATTATTATTATTATTAAGGATACGAAGATCTCATTACACAGCAAAAGAAACAATTTAAGTCCGTAGAATTTGTAAATTTATCAATTAGTTCTTTAGGCGTTTTCTCAAAAGAATGTCATTCCTTTTTAGATATGTTAACTGATCTAGGTCTTGATAAAAGACACCAATATTTCGCTATTAGGAAAATTATGTCTATCCCGATTAGGACAACATATTATATATTTTGTTGCAGAGATAAGGACTGGTTAAATCCGGAATTACTGAACATTTAAGGATACTCATTATTAATATATAAATATTAAGTAGGTTCAAGTAGTCAATTATAAATTACCTAAATTAGTGCGATTTATAATTTTATATATACGTATATAATTTCAATAAAGTTTCCATTATTATTATTATTATTATTATTATCGATGGTTTATTTACACTGTTATCGCAAATAAGATTTGAATTACAAATTGTTTACAAATGTAAGAAAGTTAAAAAGAAGAAATATTTTACATGGTACATATGGGTATATAAAAAGCTATGCTAGAAGTTATTTTAAAATGGAATAAGAAAACGATTGGATGGTTGGCTATTTGTAACTACTTATTTATCTTTGCAATTGTGCTTGGAAAGAAGCGGTTTTTGAAGCATTCTGTTCTGTACTTGTATAATGATAAGTCATTTGAATTGCTGGTGTTGTATTGGTAATCTGTTGCTCTGGTTTGCAACATATGTTCCTTTAGGGGGCCATGTTTAATAATTTTGCTCAAAGTTTTAACGCAGATTGTGTTTCGTCTATTATCTAATCTTTCGCAACTCGACATCACCAATGCTTCGTCGTAGGGAAATATGATACGCATTACTCGTTTTTGCAGTCTTTCCAATTCATCAGAATGGTATTGGGGAACGAATTACCCCAAACTTCGCAACTATATTCCAGAATCGAACGAATAAGGGCGGAATACATTTTAATGAGGTCAGCTGGTAGAATACCACTCCGTCGCAAAATTATGAGGATGTGTAAGCGTTTGGAACCTTTCGCGATTATGGACCGATTATATGTTCGTCCCATTTCAGATTATTTTGAATGATTAGGCCTAATGCTTTGTGGAATTGAATTATTTCTATTTTAAGGGTTGGAATTCTACGGATCTTTTAAGATAACAAGTTGCATTTTATTGGGTTAAATTAAGAATCATCCATTTGTTGAAAAACCATGATTCGATGAGGTTAAAGGGTTGGTTGAGTTACTGACGATATATTCCCAGTTTGTCCCTTGGGGGACCCCAGCTGTCATGGGAAGCCAATTAGAAAGTGATCTACCAATCTTTACTCGTTGTCTTCGCTTCGTTAGAAAATTGATTTAATGGAAAAGAGAGCTTCTAACACCCAGCTCGATCAGTTTGTCAATAAGCATATTACAGCCGATTCGATTGAACGATTTCGAGAAGTCCATGAAGCAGATGCGAATGTCTTTTTTTCCTGCGAATAAAGGTGGGACATCCTGAACTCTGGGGGATTTAAATTGCGGAAATGGAATTCCAACTCGACAGTTCTTCAGACGAAAGTAGCCGGCGAACTGAAGTGCAGTAAAGTCGATGAAACCGCATTAACTGAAGTAAAACCCCTCGAGAGTAAGCAAGACGTGTTTATCAACTCGACAGAAAAGGAAAACCGAACTGAGAGAGATTCAAACGAAGCGAATGACGACATTTTGTCCGCGCGATCAGAAGCTGATGACGATCCCAATCCAGAATGTTCTATAAAAATTCTAGGACTGAATTGGAATGTCAACACTGATGAAATTCAATATGACCTAACTGCATCGGTGAACTTTGTGCCAACACTTAATCCTACGAAGCGATTACCCTATTTACGATCAGTATGAAAGTTTTGTTCCAAATTATGTGTGTTAATGGCGTTAATGGGGATGACGTGTCAGACGGAGAAGAGCTAGCGGCATGGAAAAAATTTATCGTAGACCTCTCAGCATTGAACGACATCCGAATACCTCGATGTTACTTCCGAATAACCAAAAAGAAACCGACAGGTTACCAGCTTCACGGGTTTAGTGACGCCTCGTCGAAGGCCTACGTAGCCGTAGTGTATTTGCGAACAGTTCATCATAGCGGAGAAATTGAAGTAAATCTTGTAGCCTCCAAAACAAGAGTGGCTCCGATTAAAAAACAATCAATACCACGACTAGAATTACTGGGTGCAACTATCCTCTAGCTCGATCTACGAACTCTGTGCGGAAAGCGCTAACTTCATTGTTGATGTAGATAAAACTTTATTTAAACAAGCTAAAACCCCTTCAGCATTTGCTGATTTCCAAGAGGGGCGTGATGATAAAATATATACAATAGTTACACTTACATATTAAATTTTACAATTAGTTAAATCATGGTTAAATAAAGATATAATAATAGATTTAAGACTGCAGGCTAGTATCAGAAATCAACGAATTGAATAGATTTAATGAATTTGCGCTTCTTAACTCGCAAGGTAAGCTGTTCCAGAGTTTTGCTCCACTATACCGGATGCTATTTTTCAAGTATTCTGTTTTTGGTTTTGGTAAGTAAAACTTGAAATCATGGTCTCTTAAATTGTAATTATGTTGAGGAGCAGATGAGTCTTCAAAGATATCGGTTAAAACAGGTGGTGCTTGCGTATGAGCAATTTTGTACATAAACTTGCCCCTAAAAATTAAAATTAAGTATTTTGTTGGACTGATTCTTACACAGTTTTGTGTTGGATCAGAAACGAGAAAGGTTGGAAATCTTACGTCAATCTTCGAGTTCAAGGGATACGGGAGCTTGTCGAGAAAGAATCATGGAGATTTTGCCCAGGAGAGAAAAACCCCGCAGACCTGCCCTCTCGAGGAAGTCGTGGAATTGAGTTAACGAAGAATACGACGTGGTGGAACGGTCCAGAGTTTATTCGAAGCACCGATGAGGCTTGGCCGAGTGAACCAGGACCTACAAAGAATGACGAACTGAGCGCGTTCGCAGAAATCATGAAGCCCAAGACTGAATCAACTATGACGAGAGCTTTAGCCAATGTTACGATAACACCACCTAACGTAGAAGCCATCATCGATTGCAACCGGTACGGTACCAAAGAGCAACTTCTACGAGTAACAGCGTTACTAAAGAGATTCGGTGACAAAACCAGGGGACAGCCAGTGCCAGTTGGAGTAACTGCGAATGAACTAAGAGCAGCTGAAAAAACTTTGGGTGAATACCATACAGGCAAGCAAGGCGTACCGGGCGGGGGGGGGGGCGGTAGCCCCCCACCAGTTTTTTGGGCAGTCTGGCAATATTCGATCAACAGTCGGGCAATTTTGGCTTACAATAAAAAAAAATGGGACAAAATCTGTCAACTTTGTCTAAAATTACCTCAATTTTGTCTAAAATTAAGTCAATTTTTTGGCAAATTGTGCGATTTTTCGAAAATTTGTGTTATGTTCCGAAAAAAATTGGTTGTCCGGAAAATTTTTTTGACCCCTAAAATGGTACACTGACCGAAATTTTTTTGGCGACGGGGGGGAGGTCATGTTTATATTAACATTATAATTTGATAGTAATGACGTAGAGACAACGCGCCAATCAGTAGCTAGTGTGGCACGCCAACAACCCGTCTTCTTTATTGAGTTCACGCCTCCAAACTGATGGCGAAAATATATAACAAAGCTAGCGCCATTGCCGAACCTGCTGTTTTATTGTGATATATTATTAAATGATATTAAATATATAGTAAAATTGAACGTTGTTTACACTATGCCACAAAGGATCTAAGTAAACGAGGGGGGCGAAGCCAAAGTCACAAGCACTCGAAATTATCATTTTCGAGATCGGTTCGGCGGTTGGCATGGAAAGCTCGGATAGATATACGCACACGTCTCCCCCTCGGCAATTAGGGCGGTCCTTACAAAACGCTGTAAATATTCCCGGCGGGTGAACATAAAAGCATTTAACGCCCACATATTAAATGCACAAAATTGTCATTTCATTATGGAGGTGCATGGACAACCGAAACCAACATTCCTCCGCGAATTGCTGAAACGATATTCTTGTATTTTGATGCCCTAATAGAATTAAATATATATTTTTTTATTCTGATGCTCTATTAGGAATTTCATATATTATTTTGTAATTGCTATCGTAATTACCTTCCGTTTGTTTTGGCCTTGCTTCTTCGAACTTGTACCGTTCACTTGCATTTCCAGGAATTGAAGATATTGCATCGCTTTTGCCTGCCTCAATCAATTTCCGATATCCTTCCTGAAATATTTTCAATTCGGTAAGAGTGAATTCAATTTGATACTAAGTGCAAAAAAGTTAAATAATCATGCATTCTAATGTTAAATTACAAAAAATACTCGATTCTGATTAGTTAAGATGACTGCAGTTTTATCGAAGTACAGTCGAACAAATTAAATGCAGCGCAACAAATTACATGCACAGATTGATTAAAATTTACAATTTAATTTGGTTGTATCAGTTGCACTTACTTGACCAAAATTTTATTAGTAACTAAAACAACAAAAAAAGAGGTACTTTTACCAATTTTTCGGTTCTGTTGACTAAAATAATATTGGTCAAAAGAAAGTGCATCTTTGACGGCAAATTCAACTTATTTAATTATTTTTACCAATCTGTTCATACAGTGTGGAAGGCGCTAAATAAATACAAAATAAATTTTGATTTAAGTTTTGACTGTTAGAAACTTGTAATATAAGTTGCAAGTGTTTTGTCACTCAAATGTGTGAGTAAATTATTTATATATCGCATGTTTAAAAATTTGCTTGCAATACCAGCTAGGTCATGTTTTTGTTCTAGAAGGTTAGCCCGAGTAGCCTATCTATCTTTCTGAGGGGAAAGGAAAGCATAACACAAAAGTCGGTTTTGAGCTTTTCGCCTTTAACATACCATTTGACAAATATAAAAATTTTCCGTGCTGATATACAGTTATATCTACACGAGCGGAAATTGGGAAAAGGAGAAATTGTGCGGAGGACGCCCTATGGGCGTAGTGTTTCGCACAATTTCGAGTTTTCCCAAATTCCACTCGTGTTAATTGATATAACTGTAGCCTATATCAATACGGAAAAAAGTTTTATATATGTTTTATAATATAGCACAAGGAAGTATAAAGAAAGAAATTTTCCGACGTTTCCGTGTTGACATTGAGTTATATCAACACGGCTCTTAGCCAATCAGATTTCAGAATTTACAAATGCTAGGCTATATTACAAAAATTATTATAACATAAATTTATTAGCACAATTATTATATAGAATACAAAAAAATTATTAATTTACACACTGAAATTCAACTAAATAGCACAGGTTATCTGAAATACAATAGTTAGTTTATAGTCAGAGAACCCCTGTTTCATTTAAGACATTATGTGGTCACTAACAGACAAAACAAAACAAAAGGAAAACAAACAAAAAACTAAGCTTATACAAAGTATACAAGAATAATTAATCAATGTTATTAAATCAAATATAGAGGCATAATAAATTGTTAATGAGTGCAGCACAGGATCAACATGTGGCTAAATAAGTTAACTACGTTCAAGCCTTTGCTCAGGCTTATTCTATGAGAGTGTGTTGTGTATTTTCTAAATTATAATTATACATTCCATGTCAGATATTGACGAACAAAGTAGGAATAATAATCTTAGTTGCTTTTCTCTTCTTCCTTTCCATCACGTATAAAATTTAGATGAACAGAATTTTCGCTACACCACTGCCGGTTTATCTAGTGAGTTTCCCTAAAGAAATACGCTTGATCATTTGCCAAGCCTATTTTATCTTGATGTTTTTAATTAAATTGATGCAAGTTTTGAGAATAATTTCAACCCAGATCAAAATTTACATATTACTAGTTTACGTGTCAGTAGTAAATGCTGACTTGTAACTCCTCATCAGTAATTTCTGCATTTCCAATTACAGCTTTCATGGCTCGTTTCGCACTTTTTATTAGGGCTTCGAAGAAACCGCCGAAGTGGCTTGCACCTGGAGGGTTGAATCGCCATTTAATACGTTGATTAGTCATAGATTTCTTGATTTCATTCTTATCCATCGCCTTGAATCATTCTCGCAATTCACGTTCCGCCGCTACAAAGTTGGTGCCATTATCTGATATCACCTCCAGGGGCAATCCGCGACGACTGGTCATCCGGGAAGACTTCGACAAGAAGGAATTGGCGTCCAGACTCCAAGCCATTTCCAAATGCACGGCGCGAGTAGCACAACACGTGAAGAGACATAAATATCGTTTTGTTCTAGATTTTCGTCTGCCTTGCTTCGTCAAAAACGGTCCAGCGTAATCCACACCACACCTAGCAAATGCTCTCATGGGTAGTCCTATTCTTCACTTGGGTAGCGGCGCCATAATTTGCGTCGCTGCTTTGGCTCGATTCTTTTTGCATGTGTTGCATTTTGACTGATAGGACTTGATTGCTTCTCGCTCGTGTACGATCCAAAACCGTGTTCGAATATCAGCAAGAACGTGATTCACACCATTTTCATGATTTCCTATTTCATGATATTTACCAACGATGAGTTTTGTTATGTAAGCCCGTCTCGGTAGAATAATGGGGTTTCTTGTCTCGTAAGGCAATTGTTCTGCCCATTGTAGTCTCCCTTTCATTCTCAATATACCATTGTCATCAAGAACGGGGTTTAAACTTCTAATTGGACTTTGACGAGGTATTTGCTGCCACTCTTCACGGCTCTTAACTCTGATTCGAATCCATTCCTTTGGACATGACGTATCCAATAGTACTCTGCTTCTTGGATTTCTTCATCATCTAATTCACCATGTCGTTTTTCAAGCTTACCACGGGCTACGTTGTGGACAAATCGTAAAACCCAAGCCGTACAACGAACAAGCTTTATCCACTTTGAAAATCGAGTTGCATCTAGTAGCATAAACTTGAGGGGTGAATGAATGGATGTCTGCGTCAGATGAACAAGTTCAGTTGATTCTTTTTTCTTTTTTTCAGATGTTCCTTCTTCAGGGATAACATAGCGTTGCTCATGCCAAGGACCGCTGTGCAAAAACGAAGGCCTAATCAGCCAAGTTACACTTGCGACGAGCCGTTCGATGTGATCCCTGTTGTGGCAATATCGGCTGGATTAATTGCTCCAGAAAGATGTTTCCACTGTGTAGGCGAAGTAGATTTTTGGATTTCAGCAACACGGTGTGCAACGAAAGGCTTGAATTTGGAGCTACTACCATTTACCCAATAGATAACATTTCGAGAATCAGTCCAGAAGTAGTGTTGATTCAAAGGAATTTGTAAACTTCTTGAAATGTAATCACTCAATCGTAGGCCGGGTACTGCTGATAGAAGCTCCAATCTTTGTGCAGTTAATTCTTTTAAAGGAGCGACTCGCGATTTAGCTGCTATAAACACCACTGAAACTGTTCCATCGTGGTAAATGTTCTGAATGTATGAAACCGCGGCGTACGCTTGCGTTGAGGCATCAACAAACGTGTGAACTGATTGGCTATCAACACTTTGATCTTGTCGAAGGCATCTTTTCGACTTTAATTCTCTAAGTTGAGTAAGCTGTTCAAACCACTGTTTCCACGATTTAGACAAATCATCAGGTAGTTTCTCATCCCAAGTGAGACCCCGACTCCAGGCTTTCTGTAGGAGAATTTTGGCTTGTATTGTAAATGGGCACAAAATCTGCAACGGATCAAAGATTTTGGCTGCAAAACTTGTTACAACTCTCTTCGTTAATTGATCAGGTATAGGTGGTGCTGCGTATTGAAAAATTAACAAGTCATTGCTAGCTTCCCAAGTAACTCCCGGAGCTTTGATTGTTGGCAAAGCTTTGTCTCGTATCTCTATGCTTCTTTGAGCACGATCCAAAGGAGAGACATCCGCCATCACGGCTGCTTCGTTGCTGCACCATTTTCTAATTTTCATTCCAGCTTGAGCCATCATTGCCGTTAGATTACGTCGAAGATTAATTACTTCTGCTACGTTCGAGACTGAATCCAAGGTGTCATGCATATACATTGAACCCAAGACTGTCCTCGCAGCATCCTGGTATTCATTTGCTTTTCTCTTTGCATGTTCTCGACACACAGCTTGAGCCAAGTAGGGGGACGCTTTATCTCCAAACACCAATCGTTGAAATTAATAAACATCAGGAGTTCCGATTTCCAGGTCACGCCAAAGGAAAGAATGATATGGACGATCACATTCTGCCATGATAACTTGCAAAAACATCTCGCTAATGTCACCCGATAAGGCACTCCTGTCGCGGCCAAAACGTAGAAGTACGTCCAAAACTTCCTTCTGTAGCTTAGGACCAGTGTGCATAGAATCAATCTGGTTTTTCCCTTGAAAACTACACGCTGCGTCTAAGACTATATTCTAACTTTCGTCGTTGTTCTATCGTTGCGCACCACAGGAAAATGTGGAAGGTACCACTTTGGTCGTTGCTTTTCTTGTCGGGTAAGTTTCCGAATATACCCTTTGGACAAATAATCTTCAATTACTTTCTGGTAGCTCTCGGCGACATTCGGACGTCGTTTTAAAGACTGCTCGAGTGTTCCTAGACGTTTATAAGCCAAGTTGTAATTATTTTCCAACTGTGGTTCGTTCTTCTTCCATGGTATTCCTACCTCGTAGCGACCATTGTCATAACGTAAGGAATTCGCAACTTTCTTCTCAGCTTCCAAATCGTCTGGAGTGTATGTCTCTTCTTTGCCTGGTACTAAGCCGATAGATTCGAGATCCCAAAAGCGCTGTAGGGTACAGTCCAAATTATCCCCTTCATCTTCTTTCATCGCAATGTGAAATGCACAATGAGAACGTACATCAGATAGAGCAATGTTTCTCTGAAAGGGTCCAACGCACGTCCAACCCAAGGGTGTTCTTCGAGCGACCGGTTCACCCTGTAAGCCAGGAATTTCTTCAAGAGGTGAGTGAAATTCAATAGCGTTGATTCCAATCAGGATGTCAACGACTCGGTTGCGTGGAACTTGAGGAAATTCAAGGTGACGAAGGTTGGTCGTTTACTTTTTTGTTTGTTCCAATCAATCACATCAAGTCCTGGAGTTACAGTATCCTTGGTCCAAGCATCATCTCGACTACTGAATTTACTATCAAGACTTTCCACATTGATTTGAACACGGGTGCTATTGAACGTCGTCTTTCCAGTTAAGGTAGAAACGTGAAGTTGTTCAGGTGTTCCTTGCAATTTAAGTTTATGAGCAATATCTTCTCGAACATACGAAGCGGTACTTCCTTCGTCAAGGAAGGCATTGGCTACAATGCGTTGATTGCCATTAACCAGAACGACAGGAACTGTTCTAAGTGCTATAAATTGTGATCCATTATCGGTTACATGATTACTGATTGACGTAGATGGAGTGGATTCTTGTGGAGGGGGTAGATTGGTGTTGCCTAGATCATTCTGAATTTGTCTCTGTTCCTTATTTTGTTGCTCGGTGGTAGTTGTCTGTTCAACATTATCCTTTCCACTCGCTTTGGGCTGATGTCGGTGGAGCAATGGGTGATGTCGACTGTGACATTCCGAGATTGGACACGTCTCATCTTTATCGCATTTTACACTTTGATGACCTGAGTTCAAACATTTAAAACATAGCTTCTTTTCTCTAACAAATTCCCAACGTGCTTTTAGGGACATCGATTTGAACCGATAACAGTTCGAAATATAATGTTTCTTGTTACATTTGAAACAAATAGACGTCGTTTTTCTGTTGTTCTGTGCTGACGCGTATGTGTTATTGCGACGATTCGGTCTTCTTTCTTGATCATTCTTTAGAACACCCTCAACATCTTCTTGGACTTGCACTTTATGTCTCGAATAGACCAATAGCCAATCTCGTAGGGCTTCCAAAGTAGATCTACGATGTTGATAATCAAGCCACGTATAATAGTATGATTCCAGTAGTCTTGGAGATAATTTCGACTTAACCACACTATACAACATACCGGCTTCCAACTCGTCATACCGTCGACGATTCTTTAATGTAACTACGCATGTGTTTAGACGCCGAGAAAATTGTCGAATATCTTCTACAGTCTTTACTTGTTTTACATCGCGTATAAGATCCATTTGACGGTTAATAAATCGCTCATCTCCTCCATATTCATCTTCAAGAAATTATAATCGCTATAATAATCGCTGCTTTCCCAGCCAAGACCTTCGAGAAGTTCTTCCGCTTCCCCTCGTAAAAGCGACCGCAGACGGATTAACTTATGCATTGTTGAAGCGTCAGTTTTATCAACACACACGGTAAATCGAGCTTTCCATTCTTCAAACTTGGTTTTATCGCCAGATAATGTTGGTAGATGAATTCGCTCTAAATGGTTTGATAACTTGTTACTGTTGCCCTCATCCGCTCGTGTAGATCTAGATAGTTCGACCTTTGCGGGACCAGTTAAAGGCGTATTTATTCGCTGATTTGTTCTCATAGGTGTTTGACGCTCGCGTTGGTCTCTGAGAGCTCGCCATAATTCCAGATTGTTTTCGGCTTCCCTTCTCGGTTGACTTGATTGTTCAATCATATCGTGGTCACGTAAGGATACGTTTCTTCGTCTATTTGTCATTACAGGCATTTGAAGATCACTGATAGCTTGTCGTGCAGCCCTAATAGTTTTAATTTCTTCTTCTAACTGACGTATTTCTTTCTCTACACTGTCCGACTTTGATTTAATTTGTGACCTTTCATTTGTTGTTGCACGAATAGTTTGCTGTGATTCAACCCAGTCAACCGTATCACGATAATTGTCTGGTTTACTTTTCCCTGAGGCTGCCGTCTTATTTGTTATAACTTTTTCGCTAATCTCTTCGTCTTGAAATCCTTGCTGTCCGTGAATAACACGCTTAGAAGTAGCTTTTAAGTTAGCTATATCTCTGTGATGGGCAATTGAATCTATATTCATTGCCGGCCTTTCAAATTCAGGCATTTCATGCTTCATTGTTTCGAATAAATTACCAGATTGTTGTTTGTCCGTAAACGTCGAAATCTTGCTTTTTACAGCGGCGGTTTTCTTGCTAGATCTTACAGGCGAATTTCTACTGCTAGAGCGATCGTCCAAGTATCGAGCTACAGCTGATTTAACCTCCAAGGCTTCGTCAAATAACTTGTCTAGCCACTGGTCGACTTGAGTCACACGAGCGTCTGCTTTAAGTACTGTAAACAAATACCGTAACTTCTCGCATGTCTCTTCTAGTTTCGCTTCTAATTCTTTTAATTGTGCGAAAAACTGTTCTACCTCACGACACGAAGCGGAGGCATCTTCCACCAACGAAAGAATTCGATTTCGGATCTTCGTAAATTTGCTCTTGCTTGTTTTGCGACTAGCAATATGCCAAGCTATCTCGAGCTCTTCTTTATTCGTTGTCTCATCATCAGCAGTTCCAGTTGTCTGGTTTCCAGAGACCACTTGCGCCTCCGCGGCACTCCCTCGAGACATAATTTCTGAACTACCAAAAAGATTCGAATCCGGTTCGAAGGACCATTTGTTACCACGATTTAAGTCACACAAAAAATACAATTATTTATTCACACATATCCACATATTTACATGGCTAACTTTACACTAATGATTGTGGGATGTTCATAAGTTCCTTAATGCGCATGCTCTTTGTAACACTTGTAAACAATTTTTATTAAATAGTTCCTTTTTCCTTTTTCCTTTTTGTCAAACTTTTGACTATAAATACCTTGAAAGGAGAAGATCTAGAGAAACTCAGATCTCTAGTCGTAATATCTTTCAGCTTATATCTTGCAGAGTGTAACTTATCACATGTGTCACGTTTTATGAATTTTACTATAATAGGCGAATTGAAATGTTGAGCATTATATACGTCCTAGATTGAGCGGACAACTGAATGACAGATCGTTTACCTTTGTATATACTCCAATATTCGAACTCGTCTCTATTTTTATTTTAAGCATTAATTAATATTTCCATCTTGAACATGCGGGATTCCTCTAACTTCAGCGCATTCTCTACGCCAATCCTGTTCAAATTCATCTTGCAGCTCTCTTAAATTTTTCATATCATTCGTTGCCTTGTCTAATTCGGATTTCAGAAATAAATTATCTTTCTTTAAACCTTTATTATTGTCCTCCAATTGGGATACTTCCCCCCTAATTTCCTCGAATTTTTCACTCAAGAAGGAGAGTGAATTCAAAGCATGGTCGAATTTAATTTGACCAACAAAGATTGATGATCTGCTCAAATTCGTCCATTTTAATAATGGAAACAGACACTAATTAATGTAATACAATGCAAAACAAAAAACAACATAGAAACTTAAAATGAAGAGGCATTGGAACGGATTGCATTTGTCTTAGACAAAGCTCAATATTCTCGTCCAGCTTGTTTTGGCGACCGATGAAATTAATGAATTAACATATGAAGATAAAACGTATTGAACCGAGATTGAACGAAACGCGATCCAAATGATAATTTAATCTGTATGAGACCAGATTAACTGTAACTCCTAGGCCTTTACATCTTTCAAATGTTGTGGCTTAACTCGAAGAACAAAATGTTTGACTTTGCTCGAGTTAAGCCCTTATTTTCTAGAGGGATTAACTCGAAGTATCTATAACTCCAGTTATGTACTTCGAGTTAATACCTCAACGGAAGTGGGTGTGGCACGGGCGTGGTATGGACGTGGTCTGGGCTTAACTCGAAAAGTCGTGGTCGGGGCTTAACTCGAGGGGCTTAACTCGAAAATTTGCTACCCCGTTGGGCATCAGCATAAGCGGAAAATAAATCATCTGTATGAGGCCTTTTTCGCAAACTCGAGAGCATTGTGCTTATAGGCTAAAAAATATTTAAATTAAGGTAGCGGCCCTTTAAATATAAACTAAAATATACTGGAATATTTTTGGACTGTGATACTTGAAAATCTGAAAATTAGTGCAGTTTGTTGGCAAAATATCATACCTTGCTAGATTTCGTGACGCCGTCTATGCGCTTGCTTGCTATGTCTTTACACTAAAAAAACATAGATGAGAATATAATACGCATGTCAATTTTTTTGTTTTAGTTTTTGTCAACTGAAAAGATAACCTATTAATTGAAAATTCCTTTCCCAGGAACAGTGGAAAAAAGAATGAATAGATAAACAAATTGTATTTACAAGTATAAGAATACAACTATGCATAATCTCTCTAGTGACATCAGAGAATCGATAAAACTGGCCGAATGGAAAGAGCTACACGCACGGTACAATTTTCGTCTACTTGTATCAAGGGGGCACGCCAGAAATATTTGTGTAAATTTATACTAACCTTTTAATCACATGTAAATGTTTTCAATTTTCATCGGGCGCCATATATTTTTTTTTTTTTTCATATATTATTAGTTCATCGCAGGCGCAATAATTTATTTTTATCTTTGACATTAATTTATGTTACACGATGATACTCCGAAGGGCGACCGAGAAAGATCCGAAATTTAAAATAAGGCGGAGAAATAATAAAAAATAAAGAGGGGAGTGAAACTGCCGAAATATTTTCCACTGATGCTGGTTGACTGTTGCTAGGAACATTTGATGTTGCTAGGAACAAACCGGAAACAAAATGAAACCTACTATTACGGGAACCATTAGTATTTTAATATAATATACTGCAGAGCAACAAATATAATATAATATACTGTAGAAAATAATTTTTTTTTATTATTTTCGGATTTACCGTTGTTTTATATTTGACCTACTATAATTAGTTCAAGCGAGTCACATTAGAATATATTATTAAAATTGGGGACAATGGCGAGAGTTTGTATACCAGATAAACATCGGCTGCTCGTGTTTTAACGTGCTTAAAAGACGACCCATCATGAGTTCATTGGCGAAGTAATTTTAAAAATAAACATTGTCTAAGCCGAGAAAATCAAAGCAGAAGTTTATGTAAATGAGGACAATTTACAAATCTATTATCCAATCGATTTACATACATTGATTAAACATTCATTTCTTTTGAATTTCCTTCATGAATTATTAATACTGTATTTTGTGTCCAGCATTCGCAAATGTTTTTGTTTCTCTGCTGTCGAAAATTCACTGCTGGCGAGCAACGATGCAATCAATACAAGTTTTGATATATTTCAGATTCGACAGTTCTTGGTCAACGAGCATGGCCAGATAACGAAATTGGACATACGCATTGTCATTGGCCAATACCCCATCACGTGTTTAATTTAATTTAATTTATTAACTTTGCCAGATAGTATTAACAGTTATTACAAAGTAATAATTTAACGAATTAACTAGACTATATGGCAGGGTATTCGCAACAGCGATTAGCCAATTCCTGCGAACCCAAGGACAATACGTTAACATCAAATAGCAAAAAAAACTAACAACTAACTTCATGCATTTATACAACTATATATTTAGCTAGCTACGCCAACTGATCATGCTATGATAATAACATGCACTAGCTGAAAAGAAATTGAACAAATCAATGCATGCTACCGACTATATAAGCATAGCACGAGCAGTTGCCATGTAGCGAGCTGTGCTGAAATTTTCAATAACAGCAAGATATTGGAGACGCTAAACTACGAACACAGTTGCATTTCAAGCATAAAGATCTAAATGTTCGCGGATTTTCAGGATTATAAGTAATGTCAACCGAGGTAAAATAATAATTAAGTAAACATGATTTAAATACAGCGAGACTGTCCGTATGAAGGTCTATTGCGTCTATTAGTGTGTTCCATATTCTGGAAGTTCTAACGAGGAAGGATTTCTGGTAGCTGGTTGTTTTACATCTGGGGATGACATACTTGACTGTGTTGCTTGAATTTGAGCGAGTGGTTCTGCGAGAATTCAGAATAACTGAAGAGGCGCTTGTTTTCACTAAACCATGTGTGATCTTAAAGAATAGAATCAAATCAAGGTATTCGTGCCAGTAGCATATTGGGAGGAGATGCAACAACTGCAGTCTTGATTTATAGTCTATATCCGAGGAGAACGGTACATTTAGAATATATTTGGTAGCACGTCGTTGGGTTCGTTCAAGATGGTTGATAAGTTCTATTGATTGTGGTGCCCAGATTTGTGTTGCATAACCAAAATGTGACCGAACTAGGGCCAGGTAGAACATCCGTCTTGCTTCAGTACTTTTCACGAATCTGGTGTTTCTTTTGATGTAGCCAAGGGACTTGTTCGCTTTTGACGTCTGGTTGCACACTTGTTTTTTCCACGTAAGATTGGAAGACACCCATACGCCAAGGTCTCTTTCGCAGTCGGCGGTAGTTACTTTGGTGTCTTCTAGCTTATATGATGACGTAAATGGCACAATCTTACGCGTGATTGTCTGATGTTTACATTTGGATTTGTTGAAGGACAAGCCTGACTGAGATGACCAATGTTCTAAGTTCACAAGATCAGCTTGGAGAGATGCTACATCGTCCTGAGATGTAATTGCCGAGAATAGCTTCGTGTCATCGGCAAACATTGCAACTCGAGAGTACAAGTCTGCTTCGGGTAGATTATTCACATATAACAGGAGTGCAGGACCAAGAATTGACCCTTGTGGAACGTCTGAGGTCACAGGAAGGGTGCTTGAGGTTACGCCGAGTACAGTCACGCGTTGACGACGATCTGTCAAATATGACTCGAACCAATTCAGTAGATTACCGCCGATACCAGAATTGGATAGCTTGCGTATCAATCTTTTGTGGTTGATTCGGTCAAAAGCTTTCGACATATCAAGGTACAACATATCTACTTGCCCGCCGTTATCTAAACACGTACCGATGTAATCCAGCACTTCCAACAAGTTAGTCACGCACGATTTACCTTGAAGAAAACCGTGCTGGCAATCGTTAACGAGCTGGGACAGAAATTGCTTGACGTTTATAAAAATACAACGTTCTAAAACTTTAGAAACGATGGGTAGAAGGGGGATTGGTCTATAATTCTCCGCATGCTCTCTGTTATTTTTCTTATACACAGGGACGACGTTTGCTAGTTTCCAATCACGAGGTACTATTCCATGTTGTACGGATTTGTTGAATAGCTTACATAGAGAGGGAGCAACTATAGCAGCTGTATTTTTGAGGAGTCTGGCTGGAATTTCATCCGGTCCGGTGGCTTTGTTGGTATCGAGGGAATTAAGTATAGTCTCCACTTCGGGTTCAGTCAGAGTAAGTTCAGTTAAAACTGGAGGACCACTGGTTTCGGTAGGAAGTTCGTCAGGGAGGTTTTCAGATGAAAACACGGATGCGAAGTAGGTATTGAAGAATGTAGCTATTTCAACAGGGTTTGCAGCAGTTGGTCTTGGCGACTGGTCGGATTGGTCGCCATGGGAAACATGAAGAGAACCAGGTTGACCATCGGGAGAACTGGTGGTGGTTACTGCAGGCATAGAGATACGATCCGGGATGCTACATGACTTGGACTTTTGTCTAAGTACTGACCACATGCGCTTTGGGTTGACTCTAAAGCTGCTGTCAATTTCACGGAAATAGTTTTCTCGGCTTTCGTTTAATAACCTCTTAACTTCAGAACGCATGTTTTTGTACTTTTCTGTCAAATAACTGGTAGGCGAGATTTTTAATTTTCTACGAATGGAATCTTTCTTCTTTATTTGATAGAGAATGTTACTATTCAACCATGGTAACGGATTTCGACTTTTAAGTCTCTTTTTCGGTATATATTTGGAAACTTCGGTTAGAAAGGCATTTTTCCAACGCTCCCAATCAGCATCAATGTCCCCAGGTTGGTCCGAGATAGTTGTAGACAGGTCAAGCTCTCGTAAAGCAGCGCACAAACCTTGTAAGTCTCCTTTCTCGTAGTCGTAGATATTTCTCACAGTTTTTCTTGGAGCTTTAGTAAATGCATTAAAGTCAAACGAAATGGAATGATGGTCTGTAAAGATGGATGATTCATCAGGAGACAAAATTTCTGTTATTCTGACATGATCTGGTGCACTTGTAATAACTAAGTCTAAGATGTTGTCACCGCGTGTTGGGGTGTTGTTCAGTTGAGACAAGAAGTGATCATTCAGTGATTCTACAAAGAGAAGTTCATTAGCACCACAGGTACTTACTGGCACTTCCCAACGTATGTTTGAAAAATTAAAGTCTCCAGTAAGAACGACGCTTTCGTAATGATCACAAGCGTGGTTTAGAAAGATTTCAAATTTAGCCGTCCAAGACAAGTCCGCAACCGGTGGACGGTAACAGCAGCAGTAGAGAAGTTTTTGTCATCAGCTGTTCTCACCTCAGCTGACACGATTTCAAGTTGTTTTGCTTCCTCATATTCAGGCACAAATTCCTTGACAGATTTGAAATGCTCAGTTTTTACGGCAATAAGTACTCCACCACCGCAACGATTGACTCGATCTTTCCTATAGATCGTGAGCCCAGAATGCAATATTTCATCGTTACTAATATCCGTTGTAAGCCAAGTTTCACTGACACATATCATATCTGAGTTTTCATTGTATACGAGGTCTTGAAATCGCTGAAGATTGCAGACTGTTACATTAGACGCTGGATCTCTATGAATGGTCTTTATACTCCTTGCACTGAGGACTAAACACTTAACTTGCTTTCTTGAAGCACTGTTCGTTGAAGCTGAATAATACGCTGGGCCAGGATTAGTTGCAACATCACCAGCGAGCAAAATTAATAAGACAACGTGAGATAGCTTTTGATTCACTTGAAGATTTAGTCCGTAACGATAGTTCAGCGGATAGTAAAACTTCCTTTGCTTAAGATCACGAGTAGCAGTCCAAATCATACATAATTTTTCCGGTAAAACTGCAAGTTCTGAGTTGATAACTCGCTCTATACCATTTCTGCGAGGAGGATTATAAGGCTTTGATTTAGAACACGACCAAAGAATGAACACACAAAGTATGAAGCAGTTTACACCGTCTCTTATATAGTTGAAAATACACGCAAATCTTCGATAATTCTTCATAACGTTGAAAATATTCAAATAAATATATAATTCGTGCGATTTTCCAAATTTCAGAATTAAGTGAATTATAATTGAGCTTGCACGTGCAGATTAGAATGAAAACGTTCTCGCGCTGACGTAAGTGATGTCGGGTTCACCTGACGTGCGTCGTTTGCTTGCGTGATGTGACCAATTTAAACTGTTTCGGCGAAACTTTCTCACCATTTGTAATTTCACACAATTTATATTCGCAAAAATATACTTTATCTTATACCTGATTAACAGCTCTTAACTTTTTACAGGTACATCTTCACTTTATCTTGAATTAAGTGTAATTTCGCGTCCAAATATTTTACATACAGCGGAAATAAAACTGTATTAAATGCGGAGCCCTTTGGCTTGCGCCTTCGCGCAACGGCGCGTCACGTCGGCCGTTTCACTCCCCTCTTTAATTGTTATTATTTCTCCGCCTTATTTTAAATTTCGGATCTTTCTCGGTCGCCCTTCGGAGTATCATCGTGTAAAATGAATTAATGTCAAAGATGAACATAAATTATTGCGCCTGCGATTTGTGCTAATAATATATACCGCTTTCAACATTCAAAATGGCGCCCGATGAAAATTGAAAACATTTACATGTGATTAAAAGGTTAGTATAAATTTACACAAATATTTCTGGCGTGCTCCCTTGCTTGTATAGTGCTTTCGCGAATGTACATGCAGTTACCATTGCAGGAAGAATACAAAGGTGGAGAATTTTTAAATGGTCACTAAACTGCGTGGAAATTGCAGGAATTTATAAAAAAACCCTTCAGATATCTGAAAGATACAAATGTTTCTGAAAATTAAACTTCCCAAGCTGTGCAACAGGGGTCTTTTTAGTATACCCTACTTAAAAAATGCCCTACCCTAAATAATGGAAGATTCCGCATTGAAACCCTTAAACGCGTTTTGATAGGTATAATTACCTTCTTTTTGAGAGACCTCAGATACAATTTTAAATTTCCTCCTGGCGCGTATTCCAGGACTAAACATATTGGACGACAATTTGTACAACAGCCAAACATCTGAATGACATTTTCATGTTTTCCAAGGTCCGTCATCAACTCAATTTCACGAAAGATATCACTAAGGTCTTCTTCATTTGCAGATTCTATATAACATGTGTTCAATTTATCGACATTAGCTGATTACTCAAAAGATGACACCTGAACGAGACCATATGGCTGCAGTTATTGCAAATGCATGCATGTGTAAGTATTTTTTTTATCAGCGTTCTTAGAAATTACTGTAGACATAATATATATATTGACTGATGTTGAGGGAATATTGCAACAACCTCGTACGCAGGGTCTTTCCTCTTGGGGAGCAAAGACCCCGGTAGGCGCTGGTCAAGTGATATGCTAAAATCTAGCAGATTTTTAATTAACTATCTAGGTTTTCTTCACAACAATCATACAAAATGCAAATTATAAATTAAACTATCAAAATAATCCAAATATCAAATGTTTATTGACCTGATCTTCGATTGTTAATTAAAAATCTGCTAGATTACAATCACGTGACCAGCGTCTACCAGGGTCTTTGCTCCCCAAGAGGAAAGACCCTGTGTATACGAGGTTGATATTGACAAACTATTGGCTAATGTTGGTAACTAAATTAGCATGATTTAATTGGTTTTATTCATGTTGAAATACACCACGATAATTGTTCTAAATAGCTCTCAATGCAATCACCTGGACTTTCATTTATTGACCAAGAATTGGCATATGATTAGATTAGTGGTTTGATGTTGACAATTTTATAGCAACCAGGACCACAGACAAAAAATGTTGCTATCTTACATTATTTACTCGAGAGTGACGCGAATAATGGAAAGCGTAAGATTTATTTTGGCCATGGTCGATAGCTACCATCAACGAGGCGTGATGATGGAGATTTATACAGGCCACGCTTCTAGGCAATACAGGGTGTATAAAAAACGGCAACCTCGGAATTTCCCAAAAAATCCACATTGATTTAAGGACAAAATATCGTAGGTGCCTGGGAATTAAAAATAGCACAAATGACAAAATTACTGAACACGCGAGTGCATAAAGCAAAATTTATCATTTATTTAATGACAATTAATTAATAAGTTTTTATTTTAGAAGTACAATATAACAACAGTAATATGATCTACTGTATTAGCAATTCGATTTCAATTCCAAGGGACTAAAAAATATTTTATGCTTAAGAATTGCAAAGTGGATTTCTTAGGAAATTCCGAGGTTGCTTTTTTTATACACCCTATATAACGATTGCTGATATGGAAATGCCCATGTGTTTTTCCCATGAACATCTGCCAAACAATTACTTAGTACAATTACTATAAAATATTTGTTCTATGGTCTTAACCTTTGAATGTTTTAATTGCAACGGTTGTCCATTTAGGATTTATATTGGCTCCTTGGACTTCACCAACATACACTTTTCCAAATTCTCCTCTGCCGATGATACCACTAAACCGTATTGACTCAGCAGGCATCTCAAATGATCGTATTTTGTCCGCTATAGATCTTGGTATCCCGTAAACGTTATCTTGCGAAACATATAATAAATTCACTACTCTTTCGCCGCCGTCTTCTTCCAGCGTATCCCGATTAATACTAACACAAAAAATATAGAAATTAGATTGTTCACCAGATTTTCATTCTTATACCACTAAATTATATAGATAATTATCTTATAAATATATTTTAAATAACATTGTAATATAACACTATTGACCTCATACATGTACATAGTTTATTCTATAGGCATCAACATAGGCACATAGCGGGTTATTTAAATTCACCTGACGAGTGTGGCAAGTACAGTCTTGTCACAGCGAGCATAGGATTCGAGTTTATGAAGTAAAACAAGACAAACACCGTCTTACCTTGTTAATTCTAGTATATTTCATTGTAGAATTTCAATGTGCGCATTAAAATGCATATTTATTCAAAATTATCGAATATAATATAACCAAAATATGAATTTCAACATTAATATACTCCGCTGCCTTGAACTACCGTAGCCTTGTATTTTCCGAAAAGCTAAAGAACTCTTGCCGAGAGAGCAACGAGCCACTGAATAAGAAACGAAGAAAGGGAGGAAACATTGTAGGTCTTTCGTCGCATGTGCACCGCAACACCCTATGACGGAAGAGAATAAAACCGACCAATGACGAAGTAGAACTTTATTTCACAGTTGTAATTGGTATTCAAAAAATTTGAATCAATCATGCATCAACATGAAACAATACGTCACTTCCACCATATGGTGATGCCGTCCACATCGTACGAAAATAATCGATGAATATCGGTCGTCAAATATCAGTAGGCAAAGCGACAGTTTATTGAAATTTATTTCCTAGCGTAGTAAGAATAGATAATTTCTAGATTGTGTGACAAAAAAATATGTTTTTTATGAAATATTAAGCAAGGTATAGTCGTCGTAAAATATCACCCCAATGACTGTTTTCTCCCTTTCTTCGTTTCCTATAGTTTAATAGTCTATATTTAGCAAACTGTGAGCCGACAATAATATAGAACAGCGCAGTATAATTTGGTGTTCATGTTACATGAAGTACGAATAAAAAATTATACAATAATTATAAACTTTATATAGTTTCACGACAATTTCAACAGACAATAAATTCTAAATTATGCATTTTTACATTTTTAATGCACACATGGGGATTCTACAATGAAAGATATTTCAATTAACAAGTTAAGAAGGCGTTTTTATTGTCTAACTAGATAAACTAGGTTGAGATGCTACCGTGTATAAATTCAGTATTGGTAGCCTAAATAATAATGGGAACTTTATTATATGAGATAAGTCAAATTGTTAGTAAATCCGGATTTTCCCATTCCTTATTTCGGCAGCCAAAAAGTAATATGTAGTTCTAAAAGAATAGTCGTCATTTTCCTAACGCAGTACATTTGAGGGTCTCCCAGGGGAGGGGGGGGGGGGCGTGTTCCCGTGTTCCCTTCAAAATTTTCGCTTTGTTCCCTTGCTCCCTTCCAAAATTAAACCATGCTCCGTGTTCCCCATTATAAATTAAATTTTGTTCCAATATTCAGATTATTTCGATATTATGTGATTACGTGGGGCAGCTTGTATGTTAAAAAAGTCCCTGGCAAAAGGGCAAGCAACTTTCTTATCTATGTTAAGTGTCACCTATCACATTACATGTCAAGTGGCTTTTTACGCATTATCTGCATTTATACAATTGCAACTTAGTCTGCAACTCTACAAAGTAATATTTTCGTATTACGTTTTATTGAACATGGTAGAAAACGACGATGTCATAGTACTTAGTTAAACCGTGAAAAATGTTCAACCAAAAAATGCGAGGTTTGTTTACCTCGCAACTTACATGCAGCCAAGCAGATCTATTATTATTATTATTATTATTATTATTATTATTATTATTATTATTATTATTATTATTATTATTATTATTATTATTATTATTATTATTAAAACTTTATTTAAAGAAGGTTAATTTACAAGGAAATATGCCAGTTTAGCTTTCGCTAATCTTCCACTGGACCTTCTAAAGTTAACTATATAATCGAATATATTTACATGCAGTACAATTTACATTTCTACAGACTGGAGTATCCATAATTACATAAAGTACATATCGATATAGGTATAAAAAATTGGAATTAACATGCACTGTACATCTTATGAGTTATTTTTTTACATATCCAAAAACAATTCATGGGCTTTACGCTTGAATGCTTGAAATGAGCTGGAAGATCTAATATCTGGTGGTAACATATTATAAAAATATGCTCCAGTGTACCGAAGTCCACTCCTGGTGATTGATAGTTTGTAATTTGGTATCCATAAGTCCATATTGGCAGTGTTTCTTGTATGTCGCTGGGAAATTGTTGACAATGGTTTACACATTTTACTTAAATAGTCTGGAGTCAAGTTATTTAAGGATTTATAAACTTGGCAAACTACCCTATACATAACTCTGTACTTTATTGGTAAAATGTTTGACTGTTCGAAAAGTGGTTTAGATGGAGAAAGTTTTGACTTATCATAAATTTGTTTTAGGATAAATTTTTGTAGTTTGTACATTCTTGAAGTGTGTGGTGATTGTCCCCAAACAGTGCAGCAATAATCAATCCTTGGTTGAAAGAACGTTTTATAAAATGGAATTCCTGTTTGAAGTGGCAGATGCATTTTGATTCGGCGGAACAGAGCGATAAGTTTTCTCAGATTAGAAGCTAGATCTGTGATATGGGCTTTCCAACAGAGATGATTATCAACAATCACACCCAGCAAGTTACTTACACGGTATATAAACATCCACTTGAGGTTGACAGCTGCAAATCAGGAGGATAACAGTCACCAGTAATGATGGATGGACTTTTGTATCCTGGGAGATCCACATAAAGACATGATCCGCTGACAGTCTGTAGGTTCATCACAAGAAAGTTTAAGACAGAATCGTGTCTCCATGTGTATCGTTCCAGATATGATTCACAACCTGCTACAACGTGCAAAAGGGTCTCGGGGGCTAGGCAATAAGGGCAGTCTGAAGTTGTCGATATAGCCCATCTTGCAAGATTTAGCCGCGTTGGGTGAGAGTTGTTAATATAACGTACAGTAAAGCTGAATATATTTTTCGGCAGGTTCGATTGACATGTGGCCAAAGTTTCGTCAGTTGGGAAAGAGAGAACTTTGTAATATTGGTGAAGAAGGATCCTTGGCATGTTAGTTGGTTACGCAGTCTATCCTCTTGTCCAGAGCGAGAATCCTTAAGAACTTGCTTGGTCGAGTGATAGATGTCGTACTGGATGTTTTTGCGGTTACTTGTTGACTTCCAAAGCTCGTTAATAGCTAGGCTACGGTTGGAGATATTTTTAGAGCTTTACAGAGAACAGTTTGGCATTGGATGCATTTTATAGATGGAGGCCAAATATTGAATTTGTTTCGGGTTAGGAAGACAGAGCTAAGCGTTCCGGATATAGGTATATGAAGCCATTTACGAATATAACTGTTCACGTTGGAATCAATATTTTCAATGACCCAGGTTTTCGATAGACCAGTAGCGGTGAAATGCCATGATACAGTGATGATAGGTTCGACAAAACATACCGACTGTAGAGGAAGATTTTATTTTAATAAGAAGTCAGTAACGCCTATATAGAAGACTTTTGTTTCGGAGGTGTAAAGGTAATTTATCCATTTTCGATATAATATCATTAAACAGATCACACAATTCGGATTTGAGTCTTTCATCGGACATGTTGAAATTGAAACGACGACCAAGGTAGCGGAAAGATTCACCGAGTTCGATACGGGGGTATAAGTTGGTTATTAACGAACAGCTTAGGTTGGCACTGGATAGAATTAGATGAGCGTTTTTTTAATTTGACATGATGTAAATACTTTGAGTGGGACCGATTCAAGAGTTATTGGTCTGAAATTAGCGGGGTTGTCAGTTTCTTGCTTTTTTGTGGATCAAAATCGTACACGCTTTTTCCATTCTGATGGAACAGAACCAGACGACATGCAAGCAGCTTGGATAATTTCAGTTAAATGAGTTCTCAATTATGGGCAGCGTTTAAGACATATCACAGGTATTTGGTCAAGAGGACACGGAGAACCAGACGGTTTCATCTTACGAATCATATTTGTAATCTCATTATAGGTCAGGAGGTCAAGGTTAAACGGTGTTTTCGGGGAACTAAATTTAGGAATCCAACTGGGAATAATGCTGAAAATTTCATTCGGAATAACTGAGAATAAATGAGAAATTATACGCGAAAAAAAATCCATAATTTTCACAAATCCATAATTTTCACTTAAGTAATTGTATATTATTGTTGTCATGTTATTGATGCTTTTACTAATTTCTTGCGTTGCAATTGGTTGGTTTGAAAGAGTGCATTGAAAAAAGTCGTTAGCTTTTGACCACTGCATAGGAGATTTAGGCCGTTTTATTTAAATCAGGGTAGCTTTCCTGAGAATTTAAACTCGAAATTACGTCCTCTCTGATTGAACGCTGTCCTCGTATACTTCTTCATTTAAAGCGAAAATTTAAAGAGCAAGAGTAAGAGTAAGAGCAAGAGCAAGGGCAAGAGCATGCATTTATCGAGACACTACTCATATGATTCTAAAAACATATTATTAGACTTGTCTTAATATTCCTGCCTCACATTTAAGCTTTGAGAGTATATTATATATATATATATATATATATATATATATATATATATATATATATATATATATATATATATATATATATATATATATATATATATATATATATATATATATATATATATATATATATATATATATATATATATATATATATATATATATATATATATGTATATATATATATATAATGAAATACTTACAAGCGTCGAGGATTGCTTCTACTTCCGACGTCAAAAGCTATAACCATTTCTCTTTCCATAAAATCCATTCGCTTCTCGTGACGTTTACGCAGCCAAACAATGATTAAAATAGCGACCAAAATTACAAGTGACGGAGTCAGAACAGCGGCAACTATAACTCCTTTGCTATTGGTGGTTACCGAATAGTCTTTTGTTTCTATAGTAATGTTAAATAATACATGCAGTCACACAATGTTAAGTTTGCTTTCTGTTACAAGGTACAAGTAGCCTATCGATTTGATACAGGTTGATTTCACTATTTTTCAAAACTAATGATATTGCTATTATAGCAGCTTTTTCAGTGGATGTATCATGAAATGATATTTGCCCTGTGTAACGATTGCCATTCCCTAGGTAAAGCAAGATAAATCTCCGGAAACGGCAATTTTTGTCACAATTGAAATCCAATATCGAATCTGCGTTATTGATTAATGTTGCCGAGACAACTGAGTAAACTGAATAAACGTTAACTGATATTTAGAAATCTTTAGATTAATACGATATGCGATCTTACCTGGTGGTACTTTCTCGCACGTTCCATTTTTCTCAATAAAGGTTTTTTCACATGTACATTTGTGTTTTCCTGTTGCTACGATTGTCGTGCAATTATGACCTATGCCACATGGGTTTGTTGCACATAGGTCTATATCAATAGAATAATAAAATAATTATAAATTTGGTTGATTACTAAACCCATATATGACTACGCATAGTCACCGGCAGGTGCAGGCAACGTGAAACTTTACACTGCAGAAAATTGCAGAAACAGTTATACAAAACTCTTCTCACAGAATGTGTATCGAACAGTATCTTTTTGTAAAATTTTTCGAGGAGGGGGCAAGGTATTTACTTATTAGTTATAGATATTTGAGGATGGGTACAAAAATTATATTTTTAGTGATTGCATGGATCAGCAGAATTTTAACTAGGATAAACATTTCTCATCGGTGCCAGTCGCAGCCATAAAGAAATGACAGTTTCCTATACTTGCTAAAATTTCATGCTTATTCGTTACATATGTTGGAGCTTCTTGCAGCAACGGGAGGTGGGTAAATCGTTTAATTTAACGGATATCGAAATTTGCGCTACTCAAAAAATACAATAAAAATTATTCAATATTTCCTGTTGAGCATGATTAGTTTGAGCATTGCAATTTGTTTTAAAACTCTTTCTCATCCTACCGGTTTCGTATTACATTACGATTCAATTTTCTAATATAAACATCTCGGCGAGTTTTTACCCCCCTTTTAAACGAAAGCGACCATTGAAATCCTCACAAAGTTAGTTAACGGAGTTATAAAATTTGCAGCCGTTAGCCTCTCGAGGTTGACACGACTGGGGCGTGATGAGAAATAGTGTTGTAAGATTGTTAACAGTGAACGAACAGTATTACAAACCTACTTGTAGGTTATTGTTTGTGTTAGCACTCTTTTTTATTCACAAAATATTATATAAAAAACATTGCAGTAGATGCCCTCCCCTGCATCCATTTAATCAATTGCATGTAAAAAACATAATCGCAATCACGGCGCATTTAGCGGATATTATATTTTTTCTGACGTGCAACAATAATCCATGCAATCATCTGTTACCTCTCTCGTCTATCACCAAATTACTGAAGGAGAAGGCTGCTGCTAGCAGACACATATATACCATAGCATAGTGGCAACCATATTACAAATATCACAGATACTCATTTGTTTTCCGTGAAAGGATATGCAACGTATTTCTCCATTGATGGAAAAAAATGTTTGTATTAGAAATTTTGTTACAAATGAAATCCATTGTCGAAACTGCATCATTGATATAATTAGTCACTCTTCTTTAATATTACGATAAATTGAAATTTAACATTGTTTAGGTGTACGTTATAAATGGTGTATGCGATCTTACCTACTGGTTTGCAAGTTCCATTTTCCTCAATAAAGTTGTTTTTACACGTACAATTATGGCCTCCTGTTTTTACGATCGGCGTGCACTTCTGATTTTCGGCACATGTGTTTCTTCGACATGGGTTTTTATCTATATCATGTTAATATTATTAATTAGTACAGGTAATCATGCGATTGCGAGTACAGTTAGGGATTAATAGTACGAGTGGTGTTTGGAAATTTTACCAAAATTGGACGAGCCGCCAGGGCGAATCCAATTTGGCAAATTTCCAAACATCACGAGTATTATTAATCCCTAATTGTACGAGTAACATCGCATGATTACTTATTTATTATTAGCATGACAAAATTGGATACTTCTCAATGTCAACATCATATTTTCTCGCACAAGCCCAGTCCTGGCAGACTTTCAACCAAAATTTGCTGCTTTGTTCGTATTTTCATTTAGTTCTTTTGCTAAAGCATTTGGTGCTTTTTTGTTCGTATTTTCATCTAGTTCCTCTACGGCAATCTCATTTCACATTTGTGTTTAAAAATACCTTTCCGCCATTTTTTTTGATTTTGTATAGTCACCCTCAGGATTAACTAGTAATAACCCTGAGGATGCTTTTAAACTAGTCCTAACTTCGATCAAAAATCAAATGTTATTCACGGAGTTACTGTTATTTTGTAGAGTTACTGTTAATTATTTGAGTGATTCCCATAATTATATCAATATTAGGTAAACAAGTTTACCTGCGGAATATGAATTGTAGCGAACACGTACCTATGCATCTATTCTTTTCGTTAAAAAATCCATAATCACAGATACAATTGTATTTCCCATGGTAACCATCCGGTTTGCATGTGCTATTTGGTTTGTGTATGGTGCAGTTTGCATTTTCGCATGCTGGTATAGCTAAAAAAAAGAAGAACCTACTAGTGCAGAATATTGAAGAATATTAGGAAAAGTCATCGCTAGGACATTTGGAAGGCAGCGTGCATTCTCGCCCAGTCCCCGTGTCCACTCGAATATTCAATTTTTATCAGGAATACAGACTGATTATTCGACTTTTATGTAAGATACCAAATTAAAATTGTACAGTGTGGAAACAAAATTCCGTTAACTAATCAAGGATATAAGGAAGAAAACAAAAACCATAATTATTATTAGGGTTTTTGTTACAATGTTTTTTTATTATTTGTTTATTATTACAATAAAATATAATTATTACTTTCAATGTTTAAAACTGGGCAACGCAGTAATTGTACGGGCAGGATTTGTAGCTAATTTACCGAAACGACTATAATCCACCTTTTACAAAGTCATGCTGCGGCTTATTCATCGGCAAACTTAAAACGTGCGGTAAAATTCCAATAATACGCAGATATTAGTATAGCCGAAGTAATTGTTCGCATACCTTAATCTTAAAGTTTGCATACAATCGAAGGTTCGTAATCCTGTTAGTGATACTTACAATTAGAAATTACGGGTCGCGATTCTCAAACGTCCGCGATATGTATAGCGATGTAATCGTGGTCGAAGTATGAAGTTCATGTCAACATTATTCAATTTTTTAGATTATTTTTAGAGTACGTAAGGCGCGAACAATATTTTGCATTTATCTTAATGCCTGCTTTATATTTATACCATTATACCATTATACATTATATCACTGCTTAATTCTAACTACAGTAATACCAGACGTGTGTCAACGATTTGAAAATCGATGCGGTTTTTGCTAACTAGAAGTATGCAGGATTTCTGAATAAGGTAAATATTGGGAAAGAGTTACTCCTCAACTAGAAATGTGTGCACTGTCTAACGTACAACACCGCCCTCGACTGAATTTACACATCATATAAAATATCAAGCACGATAGTTCGGTGTCTATATATATAGCACTATACTAAAGATATCCGGGAACTATACATTTTCTGCTTTAAAACTGAAAGGGATTGTTCATCGGTACATACCTGGATCATACTTAATAGAGGAGAGGGTTTGGAAGCTGGGAGCGTGGCCAAATTATCTTATTGTTCTCTGTCATGTGACAATACGGGTGCATCAAAATGTATTTAGGACAGAAGATTGTATTACAAAGGAGGGTGTACTATTTGAAAAATTTCTTTTATAGAGAGGATATTCAAATACATGGAGCAAATTGCTCCATATATTGTTGTGGGACTAGTAGAAGACATTTTGGTGTTAGTAGTTTTTAATTCCAACAAAAGACGACGACTTATCGACGAAACTCGCGAAGCGTTGGGGAGGCTTGTGACAAAAGTGTGGCTTGTGACGAAATCAAATCGCTCAAAAAACAGTTCACGTTTGTGAAAGACAATTTGAAAAACACCTGATCGTAACATCTAAGTTATTTCTTCTCACTAACTAAAAGGTTTCTCTGGTGGAGGTATTGATATATCGGTATGAACGCTCGAAAGTTATAGCTTATCAGAAGCTTGTATATATTTCATGTATCAAATGTCAAATTTGTAGCCATATGGAACAGGAAATATTTAAATAATGATTTGCATAAAAGTGCGCTTCGGTCATTATGTCATATATTTATGACAGTTGCATTAATGCTCAAGGAATACATAAATTCAGGACACTGTCACAGAGGACAGTAGAAATATTTTCGTAAAACAAAGTATTATACAATAATTAACATAATGACAGCATGCACTACTGCTTCAAAAGTATAAATATGAAATAATTTGTACATGGTTAGAAAATAATAATTAAAACAGGTTATAAATGAATGTATGTAAACAATAAGACTAGAACAATCTATTACCTTAGTTGAATAATTTGTTGTTGAAATCATGTTGAATTTAATAGAAGTAAAAATTTATACTAATGTATACAGTAAATCACTATTACACAAAATTTTGTTTCACTTATACACAAGACATCGGCAAGCTCAACTTTGGGTAATCGTGGTTTGAGAGATCACAACGGCTATGATTGGAGCACACCAGGGCCTTTTTTAAGGATTTTCCCGTGGGGGGGGGGGGCATTTTTGAAAAGGGACCTTTCTGTGAGATAATATACTAGAGGGGGATAGCAATGGCTTGGGTGAAGGCCACGTGTGTGGCCAACATACCACGCATGAATGGGGGGAGGGTCTGGGGGAGTACTCCCCCAGAAAATTTTTGAAATTTGAATCCCGGAAATGTCATTTCCTGCATTCTGAGCATCCAAATTTGCTCCAAAATTTATGCTAACTATACTTGTATTTGAAATAAATAAAGGAAAAAACGCACAAAAAGTAAAAAAAATAACCATCATTTATCATTACTTATCAGAGGAGGATAGCAAATGTCAGGTGTGTGGGGGTGTACTCCCCCAGGAATTTGAAATTTGAAGCACGGAAATGCCATTTCCTGCATTCTGAGCATTCAAATTTGCTCTAAAATTTATGCTAACTATACTTGTATTTGAAATAAAAGATGAAAAAATGCACAAAAAGTAAAAAAGAATATTAACTGTAATTTATCATTACTTATTAGAGGGATAATCCCAAGAAAATTTTTGGAATTTGAAGCACAGAAATGCCATTTCCTGCATTCTGAGCATTCAAATTTGCTCTAAAATTTATGCTAACTATACTTGTATTTGAAATAAAAGATGGAAAAAATGCACAAAAAGTAAAAAAGAATATTAACTGTAATTTCTCATTACTTATTAGAGGGATAATCCCCAGAAAATTTTTGAAATTTGAAACCGGGAAATGCTATTTCCTGCATTCTGAGCATCCAAAAAATAAAAAATTATTAACAATAATTTATCATTACTTAGTGGTAGAAAAAAGTAACAATTTAAATCGATTTTGTTAAACAAGGACAAAGGATAAAGCCTCAAACTTACTTTCCGTTTATGTATTTGTTAATCTTCGCTGGTTTGTTTGTATAATTTTAGGGGAAAGGCACTTTTCCTGGGGGGGGGGGCAAAATGTGATTTCGTGGGGGGCACAAGGGTGGACTGGGGGGGGCATTTGCCTCCCCAGCTTGTATGTTAAAAAAGGCCCTGGAGCACACTTATCTAGTGAATAAGTAATATTTCAAATCCGAGTTAGTGTTTTAGACGTGGTTTCTAAATACAAGTGCCATGAACAATGGCGAGGCGCAGCCGAGCCATTGTTCATGGCACTGGGGATTTGGAAGCCAAGTTTAAAACACTAACGAGGATTTGAAATTGCTTCTCACAGATCATTAGATATTCATAGCAATGAGGCAGTAACAATAGCGAATTAAGTTGTTCAATGAGGCGAATGCGTAACGAAGGAACGAATTAAAGACGTTGTTGTTGTAGTATTTGTTAGCCTTCGAAGGAAGCATGGCATCTAGTTGCAAAAAGAGGAGATTTCGAGATCCTCAAAGCGTGGAAAGAAGCATTGACAACGTGCGAAATGCTATTGCACAAACAACGCGTTATAAAAATCGTTGGGGAGTTCGTATATTTGAAGATTGGCAAAGTGGGCGAGAAAATAAAGCAGTCATGTGTGAGAGCAATCCTTTCAGCTTAGATTTGCAGAATTTGCAAAATTTGGAGACAGAATTGTGTTCAATGACGGCAAGAACGTTAAACTTCTGGCTTATCAAATTTGTTCAAGAAGTTTGCGACAAGGATGGCAAGCGATATCCCGGGCGTACAATATACCAAATTATATGCTCGTTGAAACGACATCTAGACGAAAATGGCCGGGCTGAAGCTAACATGTTAAATGCTAACAATCACTGGTAGGTTGAATTTGTTCATTTTTAATTAATGGTTTAGTTTAATTTATTGTAATATGAGCATGTTTATTATTTAGTTTCCAGACGTTCAGAAGAGTGCTGGATAGTGAAATGAAAGCCACCCACCGGGAAGGCGAATCGCTTGCGGAGAATCGTACAAGACGAGAGAAAGAAGCTATTACAGATGATGAAGAAGGTTTGCTGTGGTCAAAAGGCTTTCTGGAAGACAAAACTGCTCAAAGTTTGGTTTACATAATTTATTTATATATCGGAAAAATATTTGGATTAAGAGCATGTGAACACAGACAGTTAAGATTAAGCAACTTTGTCATAGAAAACAACAAAATTTGTTATCGAGAAAATATTTCGAAAACTTTTAATGGAGGATTTAAAGATTTAAAGAAGAAACCTAGAACTGTGACTCATTATTTTTACGAGGATGAGGAAAGTGTGCATGAACCATGCCTGGTTCAAATGTTTAAGCAGTACATTTCCTTGGTCAAAGAGTTACCGAAAATTAATGAATCATTCTATTTTTGACCGAGCAAAACAGCGTATAAATTCGAAAATGCACCAATTGGTATTCATAAGCTTAATTATATAGTGCCTTTTTTAATGAAAGAAGCTGGCCTTGAGATTAAGACAGCACACTGCCTTCGTGTCACAACAGCAACAAATTTGTTTCGAGCTGGCCATCAAGAAAAATTAATACGTGAACGAACTGCGCATGTTTCTTCTGCCTTATTTACGAATGAGAAACCTAGTAATGATCAAGAATGGCTGTATCCAAGTGTGTTGGCCCATCTGTATCAAAGGTTGTGTCGCAAATTTCCGACGAGGAACTTGATAACGAGGAACTTGATAATGGACTGGTCTAAAATTGATAAAGAGGTGCAGCGACGTACTATTGCAGAAAAGTTTGTTTTGTCGAACAGTACATTCACTAACTGTTCCTTTAACATTTCGTTTGCCGGAAATAAGTAATACTAAGTCAATTGTATGTGTGTTATTGTTAGTGTGATTAAAAAAGCAACATATTTTGTTGTTTGAAGTGTGTTTTAATGCTTTTGTGTATTTAGAAGTTATTTCTAAATACAGCTTACTGTATTTAGAAATTAATCTAAACATAGCAATTAAATATATTTGCATAATCTTTTGTTTACTCCTCAATTTCCCTATTGTTCAAAGCCCTTTCCAATTGAAGTAATTAAATTCCTGGTCTAGACGGGGTATCCAGATAGATACACGTGATGTAAATTACACCATGTCATTGGCCGAAATGCTATGAATATCTAATTATGTGTGAGAAGTTTACTATTCACATCTGAACTAGGCTGTCAACTTTTTCATTCTTTGGGAGTTTTTCCCTTGCAATTGTACTTATCAATATCCCGTACAAATGAGAAACTTTGTACAGCCATACTGTTTAACAATGTTCTCAAAACACAAGGACCGGAATTCTTTTGATACTGCAACATTAGATTGCTCAATAATGTCATTCCACAGACTCTTTAAGTTGTATGAATGGAGGAGCTTGGAAGTTCTCAACCACTTTATCAACACTTAAAGGAAATAGGTTTGCCAATTCTTGTGTGCTTTCTAAAGCACGATTCAGCAATCCTTGCAATATACATTAAGTCATGAAATTGGTGCCCACATGGCTGAGGGCTCCTCCCAGCAACATAAGCAAGGGTTCCAATATAAGATGTCATGAAATATCATGGAGTCTGGGAATAAAATTTCTATTTTGATAATGTGACAGAATGATCAAAACTTACAAATCACATATTAGTAGACATTGAATCACTGTATAATAAATAGGTCAATATCTGGATTTATAATTGACAATTGGACGTAAGCCTTACTATTTAAGACATAAATAAACATTCATATCTTGACTATAAGTCCGTATATACAGTAAAATATTTACTGCTAAAATAAAGCATGCCGTTTCTTCAGTGTATACAGCTAGGTGTATCAAAATAAACGCAATTCATCTTTTGTGCTTAATAACTTTCGAAATACTAGATCTAGTTAAACGCTTTTAGGCTTACTTCAAAGCCTGTTCTTTTCTCTTTCAAACAAACTATTATCCTTGTCTCCAATGCTAGTAATAATTGCACAAGAAAAGATTTAGTAAAACCTATCATTTTTAGTTCCTGTTTAATTATGCAAGTTTACTATGTTATTGTTTAGTCGGTTTAAATGTTAGAATTTTCTTCTTTAAACTTTAATGTTGTCGTCACTACATCTGGAAAACCACGTAAGAACAAATTAAAAGTATTTTAAAAAAGACCAGGTTGTTTGAAAATCCTAAACGAATGCTAAAAATCGTCAAAACATTCTGGTGTCTGAGCCAGAGTGTCATCGAATTGCGATGTAATGTAAACAGAAATTATAGCAAGTTGATGTCAGTCAGTTTAGATGGTCCAAGCCAAAATTATATCGCATTTGAAGTTTCAAACTGAGTTAAAAATAGTGCGGAAGAAAAGCCGTAATTATGCTTTGTTACAATCCATTTAATAAAATGCAACATTTTTTTGTTTTAATGAAAAAATCAGTTATTTTCATGAGAACGATTTGTTATTCCATCTCACTTTTTTTAATCTCCAATCGCAATAACGTAAAGTATTATTACCCGCGAACCAATGAGTCAAATTTAAGAAACAACCCACTGTTAGAAAGCTGAATGGCTACGCTTTAAAATGAATGTAAACTTTAACGTTTTCGTCTATTATTTGTTTAACAATTTACATTTCAGTCGAGGATTGCGCTTTTTTTGATACACCCTGTATAATAACTTTAGAATATCTGAAGGTTAGCAAAATCAAAATTTCGGGCATATTCATCAGCATCAAAAGCACAACTTTATCTTCTCTGCATGGATGAAAAAATTCTTTCCTTTTCCAGCTACATCTCGAACGACCTACAATGCCTTCTCATGATATAAGTCACATAAGATGAGTTTTGATTTTCCCTTTGGCAGCACTAGCTTTAGAATTTTTCGAGTGTTTACTGCGTCGATATTCGCACGCGAGTTGCTTCAATCTAACGAGAAATATAAGTCAAATACTAAGTCTAAGGCATCTCACTACATATTGTTTAATTGGACACAGTATAAAGGACTTACTTAATCTTCAACTGAACGCGATATTTCTTCAGTTAATTCATACGCGTTGATTTGCAGCTCCTAAATAGTTTGATGAAAATCGCCGCCGCTGTTATATCTGCGTCTTCAGGGCCCATAATTGGAAGAATTTTGCTTTCTGAATCGTATACCGCACCCGAGCTTGTCGAAGCCGTAACAAGAACAACGATGCTTTATTTTAAAATTTATAAGCCCAATATCATATTTCTGTAATGCTACGGTCTAGTAATTTTTGAATTCGATGCATCCGAATTGTCACGTGACATATCTTTCCAACATCTGAAATCAATAAGCTCGAAAACTTTTGAAGTTTGCCGGCCTTCCAAACTCTGTCCTCTATTAACTGTGCATGTATGTACTTATAGATAGGGAGTAATGATTTTTTTAGGAATAGAAAAGTCGTTTAATTTTCAAGAGTTAGACTGCTCGAATCCGCCGGAATCAAATCGATTGTAGCTCGCCTTGCTTATCGAACACTCGACTAACCGTCATTGTAAGACTGTATTCAATTAGGGCTATTGCTCTGAGACCGTTCGTACAACGTCTTAAATACTGCACGTTTTGTAGTTATATAATATAGTTAACTCTCAAATGCGAGATTGTGATTGGTTATATTTCGCATTAACTACAGCTAAATCTAATTAACCAGCTTTTTATACAACTTCCCTGCATTTCAATGTCTCACCATTTCCTGCAAATGAAGTGCTTAAACAATTAAATCAAAACATCCTATGAAAAGCTGAACTTATATAATAGGCCCAGTGAATACTAGAATGTTAATGAAATGCAAAATGAGTAAGTTATACCCGTAACATCCAAAGCTTCCACGTATTTGGACAGACAGTGATCACCATGATATCCATATATCTATATAGCAAAATTAAAATATTCTCACTTCTTATGTCCACAGTCATTTCACATACAACATTTGGCACGATGTACTATTGGAACGCGTCTATAAGATCACATATTGAAAGGTCTTGTAGATGGAAATTATCGAGTTGAAATTTATAAACATTCATTAGAAATACATGTATGGAGCTGCCGCTTGCATATTTTTTCCAAATATTGATTTAACATGAAGTATTACCAACTGACCATCACTGCGTGTGCAAATGATCACGTTAACGTCAGTGTTGCCATGGCAACATAATAATTTTAATTTTTATTATACTTTTGTACAACATGGCAAAAATAGTTGAAAGGTAATTGATTTTTAACAATATAACAATGAATATTCGAAATGTGTACTGTATAGGTATGTTGTTCTTGGCTTTGTGAGCTTTGATTTAATTTTTTTAACCTGAATCACTTGGTAAAATGTTTTGAAATGTTCATTTTAATAATGGTGTAAAGGATCTCAAATTCTTTATAGATAAACGCCCTAACCAGGCTCGCGCTCAACAATTTTTCCTTTGATGGTGAGCATTACCAAAAGATGTTTATCTTAAGATGTTTATCGTGGTTTAGCCATGGGAACAAAAATTGGACCCAACTTTGCTAATTTGTTTGTGGCAAAAACAAACCTTGGAACAGTACACTGATCTCATCCCTGATTACCTTGCTGGGCACATAGATGACCGTCCTGGCACAGCATCATGTTCTCATGTCGAAATGGAACGCTTTATTAACTTTGTTAATAATTTCCATCCGGCACTTCAGTTCACATGGGATATCAATGAGACCAGTGTATCATTCTTAGATATCCTTGTATCAATCAATGGTAACAAACTAATTACTTCTGCGTTCTACAAGCCCACTGACTCCAATAGCTATCTTCTATTTTCCTCTTCCCTCCACAACCACACCAAAAGGTCGATTCTCTTCTCTCAGTTCCTTCGTCTTCGACTCGTCTGCAGCGAAGACGAAGACTTTCAGGCCAAAAGTATGGAGATCAGACACTTTTTTGTCCAACGTGCATGGCTATCCTACCTCTCTATTATAGACACTGCCTATTCGAAGGCCTCCCAAATTCCCCGTTCTGACACCCTCACAGACCTTGTGTCTGATGTCACGGGCAACAACAAAATCCCCATAGTATTAAATTATCATCCTTTCAATTTCAAAGTTAGAGATGTCATCAACAAGAATTCACAGGCTTCAGCGTTACAGAAAGGCACTTTTTCTTGTCTGTCGTCGAAATGTAAACCCTGTGATTTTGCAGTTTCTACCACCATTGTTTCGGCACCTAAATCTGAATATCACATCAAGTAGCATTTAACGTGCGCCTCCTCCCATCTCATTTACTGCATTTCTTGTAGCAGATGTGGCATGCTTTACATTGGCTATTTACATATTTTGTTTACACTTTGTTACGATTAAATCCATCTAATTGGCATTTTCCCCGATCCCTGCTACTAACTCTTGACGAAGGGCCTTCGCTGCTTATTTTTTAAAGTAGTAATATAACCACTTAGCACAGCATTTTCACATTGGTACTACCCACACTGGTACAGACAGTTTTAGTATCACGTATCGTGCGTTCTGATTGGCTACGCTACTAGTAGGCTATTAGTGATATCGGTGGGACACCGCAATTTTTCAACAGGCGACAGATCACAATTAACTCTTCAATTGGCCATATGATTGTAGTACCAATGTACCATCACTGTGATCTGACAAGTGTATCACTTTAGGCAGCCCATTAGGTTTTGACCGCTTGCGCTGAGAGACGGACTTGAACCAAGTCTACCCATTAGCCCCAGCGAGTCAACGCTCTTTTGAGAGTCTTGTTTAGTAACAGTTCGGGGAGCCATTTTGTGTTCCATATTTTGCACTTTTTAAACCTTGTTTCCTTCTTCTTAATAAGTTTTAATTAACCAAACTTGGCTTCTATAACAGTCTCTTATACTATGCTGTTTTACCACATGTTTTTTAACTTTTTTACAACTCACAAGTTGTATTTTTCAAGTTATTCTTGGGAGTTCGCAACACTGAGTAGTTGTCAACAAAGTCGAGGCGAAATGTAAAATGTCGCCAAAGGAAGCCATTTAAACGCACATTTCGTTAAAACGTTATTGTTTTACATGAAAATCAAGTGAGAAATTTCGTTTTGTTTATGTGGTTTATACTAAAACAATTAGACAACTCAGCCTCGTTGTCAACTCGGCTTCGTTGTCTAATTGTTGAATATTCCCCGACTACTAAAAGTATTCGTGTATAATATTCATTACTATTATTGTAATAGTTTATGCCTACTATAAAACTGTTATTATTATTTTGTCATGACAAATATGACTTATAGTCCATGGCTATTAATACTATACATATTCCTCAAATGAAAACTTTGAAGTAATTTAATTACGATTTATGATTAAGATATTGTTCACAAATTCCGTTTCAGCATCCGCGTTTGAGGACGACCCGATGTTAATTTAAATAAACGTATCGTAGTGCATGCAACAAACTCATAAAAATGGAAACGCGTTATGTTCACCAATATATCCTAATTTAGGTACCAATTCATATTTTAAATGTCAAATAACCAATAATGGTACCAATTCGTATTTTAAATGTCTAATAATAATTGTACCAATTCATATTTTAAATGTCGAAAACATTCGATGTTATTAATTAAAGACGCGGCTGGCCAAGTACGACTGTCCCGCAAACTGCGGTTTGCCGGTTAGCTGTTCGTCGTTGAACCGTTCGTCTAAAAGTCTAATAAAATATTGTAAGCATGGTACATACGCTTAGATAATTGTTCGTTCCATAGGTTAAGTTGAAAATCGTCTTGCTATATCGAGAAACCTGACAATAAAATGAACAGAACAATGCAAAAAATTAACACAACAAAGATATGGCCGATTGGTTTATACGTCTTCATGAAAGGTATCAGTTCCATTGGTTTTCTGTTTCCTTGCAATCGTGCAAATAAATTAAATGTATACGCTCAGGAAAATATAATTATCAAGATGGGTAACCGTGCAAAACTCTGCATGTCAGTCGGATCAATGGTCGAACTTCAATAATAACCTTTGAAATTCACACAAGTGAAAGGCCACCGTGTTTAAATATATTTAGATGATAATAATAAATAATAAAAATAATAAAAAAAATAATAAAAAAGCCTGATGTTCGACATTTGTAACATCATGGCCATGCATAACTAAAACTCGTACGAGAGCATATCCTTTTGATGAGATGGCCCAATTGAACTCCAAAATCGCACGTTGACACATGTGCAGGAAATTGTGTCCACGATGCAATGAAACCGATTATTGTGATCTGTTGTTAGACCGATTCGGCTCGTGCACACATTGTACCAGCTAATCTGCTGCGAAGGACCGATACGCATTACTTTTTGAAAAAAAATAAAACCATGCGTCTAAAGCCAGGATTCGTGCAACAATTCTTCAGAATGTAAGTTACCACAGCTGAAGAGAATATAGAGAGGCGAGGTTAGCCAGGCGTCTTCAGTCATTATAGTGAAAATGGGAAGCATGCATGTGCGTAAAATATATGAAGTATACTTCCGTAAACGAAAATAAAAATCTCTACGAATTAGTTAATATTTATACGCGTAAAATTAAATCCGAATTTTATACTAACACAATTCGGAACCGTAAGTATACCAAGACATAAAAATCCTTGTATTTGATTAGAAATAAACCGCTTATATTAAAAGGTGTATGATAACGTTATAACTGACTCAGAACTTATTGCAGAGTTGAGAAATCATTGTGACTTGCAGTCACTCAATTCTCCCATGGTAAGAAACACTTTAACACGGGATTCGAATTTCCATAGATCGATGCACAAAGTGTGCGTTTGACATTAAATAATCTAAAAGCAAACAAATCGACAGGGCTAGAGCTAAAGCTAAATCTAGCGGCTGACATGTCTTTATTTTTTATCTATGATTCCAAATTGGTCTTAATGTAGATCAATCGAGAAGGGACAGCATAATTACGATTTATAAATTCGTCAAGTATATAGTTGAGTGAACACTCTCGACTTTCTAAATGTCAAACAGAATTTTTCCTAAAAAATACGCGATTACTTCAAATTAGCGCAGATGATGAGGAAATATTTTTTAGCATTGAGATTTTCAACAAATTGCACCTACTCGTAAATAACACAACTATATACTAATACATGTCCATTAATTAAATAAAAAAGGATCAGCGTTGAACAGCGGTAAGGCAGTGCATTTGCGACCAATCACTTACATTGGAGAATGCGCTAACATATTCTCTCAAGATCACCGATCCGCCATTTCTTATCTGAACTTTAAAATACGTGATTTTCTCCGCATTTTTCCAAGTAACATCGGTCCACTTTAAAAACATAGTTACGTGATTGTTGTTTCTTGTATCCCTTGTAAAACGTGCATTGATAGAGTCTTTTATATGGACTGTTCCTTCATCTACTGTATAGTAAAGTGAAGAAAGTTTCAGTAATTAGACGTTTATGAAGAGCAACGTACAGAAATAGCGTTACAAATACGAATTTAAAATGAAAGGCAACAAGAAATATTTTAAGCTATTTCCGGGGGGAAAATATTTTCCTGAAAATATTCTTAAAGTACGGGACGATCGTGATGGAAAATGGCATATCTGTGCTGAGAATTAACAGGAGGGAAACTTGTATATATGCACAATGTATAAGATATAGATAGATAAATGTACATGCATGAAATCGATTGCGACTTATATATGCTTTGAATTTAAACAAACATGCACGCTTGTACCGGTTCTCGATTGCGTCCAAAACAATACATTCTTGAACCAAAATGCATTTACTCCAATGTTAACTTCACCTCATAGAAAGAAGCAGAAGCATTATAGTTTCTAGATTATTTGTTTGAACATACAGACATATGTCGACCAATAAAATAGAAAGTGCCCCATATTCGAATAATAGGAAAAAATAGTCAGGATGAACTATTTTGCCACTTGTATGTATAGCATCGCTAACTTTTTTATAATTATTTTAAAGTTTGAAATATTCGTAATTTTAATTATGCTTGGATTTTGTTCGCGGAAAGATATACATTTGAGGCTTCATCCGAAATAAACTGACTGTAAGTTATGCAGCATGGATCTGCCTCCCCTAATCGAATAGCGCTTCGAAGCACAGTATGGAATCTATAGTGCATGAAATGGGCAAAATAGACGTCGATTTGTATTTGCTTTTCGAATTGTGTTCGTGTTTCTCGCTCGTTTTAAATATGCAAATTGTATTATTTGGGATCATCGAAGAAGAAGGATCGTACATTTTTTTAATATTTCAGATCTTATCTACCGTAGCATGGAATTTTGAATTGAATTGATGAATGGTATGAACTGTTACCAGTGCCGTAGCAAGCTCGATAATTGGGGGGGGGGGGGCAGATATTCATATATTCGTGTTCTGCGTTAATTTCTTCAGAAATCGGTTGTTTTTATGGTATGTGAACACTGCAAAAAATCAAATTCTAGTCTAGAATAATATTCTTATTTTTTAGATTATTTTTCTTATTTTAAGTAAATATTTCTTATCAAGAAATATTTCAAGAAAAAAAATCTAGTTTTAAGAACAAAAATCTTAAAATAAGAAAATATAACTGGGCAAGAATATTCGAGAGAATTTTTTTCTTATTTTAAGAATAACATTTTTCCATCCTAGAATAATATTCTTATAATTAGAAAAACAATCTTGAAATAAAGTTTGATATTATTTATCGCATATATCAAAACCTTTCTTTTGGCAACTTTTGCATGGCTAAAACGAGATATGATATTGAATTGAATAAACCTAATTGTAATATTGTATATCTTTCACTTTTTTGTCAAATTTGAAGCTGAACGGCTCTGTCCTGAATTGTCGCAGTTTCAACATGGCGGATATCACAATGAATTTGAATATGCCCAATGAATTGCTGCTATTGAAAAATAACAATTATATATGAATTCAAATCATTTGCAACAATCGTCTATCTACGCTTTAATGAAGATGGTATGATCCACCGCAAAAAATGAAGTGTAAATTTACCCAAGATTTTGCGTAAATATCACCGACATGTTATGACATCACGGTTAAAGGCCCGGTCACACTACACAACGATAACGATACGATAAATTGTAAACACGCGATAATTGGCAAAAAAATTGTGTTAGTGTCCACACAACAACAAAAATGATAAAATTATCGTTAGACGATAACGATAACGATTTTAAAATCGCTCACCTGAGCGATTTTTTTTTCAGTCGGACGATAACGATAAATTTTTGACCAATCAGCGCGCGTATACAAGTTATCGTATCGTTATCGTTGTGTAGTGTGACCTGGGCTTAATGCTGTCAAATGTTATGACATGCGATACGTTAAACGATAAAAATTATATATTATTGCAATTGGCATATAATTTTTTTAGAAAATATGTCTCATTATTCGCTTATAAGAATTTTCATCATTTTTTTAAAATCATTTTTTTTGGCCAGATTATAAATACTTCCTATAGTTTCAAGCTAGCGATAGATTGGGAGCGCTTTTTGGTGTATGTATTTTAGAAGACAAGGGCCACGCGCGCAATGAGTTGTGGGATATCGTATAGCCCGTTCTCCACTAGGCGAATTTATTCGCGCGAACAGATAAAAAGTAGGAAGCGATCCTACTTTTTCGCCGCGAATTTTTTCGCCGACCAATCACGTTGCCGGATTTCGGTTTTCGCTTCGCGTCGCGCGAACAAATTCGCGTAGTGGAGAACGGGCTTATATCAAGTATCAAGTGTGATTTACAAATTTTCGACTTTTTCGTTTGAGCATATTTCACTCAAGAATATCGTGTTTTTTTATCATATTTGGTTCTGGATAAGTGACTCCGAATCCTGCCGAAGGCTTATTGATCTCAGGTATGAAATATTACTGTTTATATCGTATAATTATAACGTACATCGACCGTATTTACTGATTTTATCTTGCGGCTGTTATAGCCTGTTGTGGTTGTATGCTATTGCTAAATTTGAATTTGCGCGCGAGAGGTTTTATATATTGAATTAGTTCATTTCAATTCCCGTCAAATATTAGTTAAAATCAACAATTCAAATTTTGAATAAACACATAGTAAATACTGGGTTACACTTGCCACTTGGTTCACAAAACTGGAGAAAGCATGTTTGAACCCACATAGTATATTATAAAACAATATGTGAATATGAATAATATTTACTTGCTGATTGCTTCAAGCCTATTATTAGCCAAAACATGAAAATTATTTGAGAGTATTAAACTTACAATTACAATGTTATCTATCTGAATCATAAAATTGTTAACTCAATATATAGAATTGATTATAATATTAGCTTATCAGTTCAGTGCATATATTTCTTGGTTTATAGCATGTAAATAGTTGACTTTAAATTAATATTTAACCCATTGGCATTGAGCTGGAATGTGCCTCAGTGTGCCCTACTTTTTTTCACCTGTCTAACTCCAGTGTCTTCACTCATGTCTAACCCTGCATATATGTGTGTGATATATTGTGCCTGTTTATGTGATAATGGCATGGCTGGACAGCAGGGTTTTAATCCAGGATGGTGTGTTTAATATATAGACGGAATACACCCCGCCTCTCCGCCTGGCAGGGATGATAGAGTGCTTGTATAAGAATTTCTCGTCCTGGCAGATGCAATCCCGGCAACAAATAATGGGATCCTGCCTAGGCCAGAAAGAAGTAGAATAATTCACTTTACCGTAAACAGTCGATAGAGTTCATATTGCAAGCTAGATGAGATGGGGTGTTAACGGGATATTACACTAGGCCGTACATTGCATAAGCTGCATTGTGCCACAACGTTATTGTTTTACTCCGTATAATGTCAGATGATTTTACCTGTCAGTGCCATCACTCAACGGGTTACTGAAACAAGTAGCACTTATCTCACATTACAACTGAGGTTAAATCATAACCATATGAATGTTTTCTGGAATATGAGGCAATAGCATATTAAATCACAAATACCAACACCATCGCCGTTACATTTTATACCAATCTAATGGATTTTGCTGCAAAAATTCTTTTTCATGTTATAAACTCTATCCTACATAATAGAATGATTACAAATAAATTACTTATTTCCTTTCATGGGAAAATTTGTGTCATTATGGTCAATTTGAGTCCGAGAAATCATGGCCCCACAGTCAAAATGTCAAATTTTAACCCATGAAGTTGCATCGCACCCTTTATTGTATTCCTGTCTAATGCCAGACAATTTTATTTGTGAGTGGGAGAGTGATGGTGGTTAATTGGTTAAGGATGCCAAGTTATATCATTATGCTTTCAATAAGTAACACAGTTGTAATTTAACACTTGCCCGGGGCAAGTGAATATCATTGTCACACAAAGCTGGGCATCAAGTTTATGTTTTCATTGCCAGATAATTTTTTTATGCAGTGCATGTTGTACTTGTGCATGGATTCAAATTTTGTTTTTCTGTGGGCCACAGCCAGGTCTGAAGCAGTATAACATAGCCATCTAGAGCAGTGAAGAATGTGTCGACATGTTGTCCCCTTAATTTATAGCCCCTACCTGGGTACCCCAGTGGCCATTGTCTCATGGCAAGTGAATTTTATTCACGGCAACTAATTTTCATATCCAACTTGGCAAGTTGAACTTGCCCTGATGACAAATGGTCAAAAAAGTAAAGTTATACCACTGACTACTGAGTAAAGTATATGAGCTACAGTGTCATGGTAATAATAACTCTGGAATAAGGTATGCGGTTATTTTCAAAAAATTTACATTATCACTCATCAATATGTCTGCAGGTTGTTGAAGAAGATCGGAGGAACCTCAATCAATCCAAAGAAGCAGAAGAAAGTGCATACATGAGGAATTGTGAAAAGCAGCAGCTGATTGACCAATTGGACCCACTTATTTACTATCATGGCATTTCAAAAGGAGTTATGAAGCCACCACATGAACAGTGAACTGGTAATTAAATGATATCATTTTGTTTTTTTATTAATTAGAGTACCGGTACCAACATTGGATTCATTAGCACCAGGGGTGGAAAAAGTATCGGACCACGGGACCATTGGTCCCAGAAAATTTTTGAGTTCCCAGAAAATATTTTCCCAAGAAAGAAAAATTGTAATAATTCAAATAAAGAGAGAAATTCAGAGGAAAATTCACACCATGACCTCAGAAATGCAATTATAAGTGTAACCATCTTAATAGTGCGATAGTGTATAAATGTATT